ACCGGGGTTTGGGGGGAGAAGAACCCAGGAAGGGGCCACCGCCCATTTTTGCCCCAATAACGTAACCGACCCCTTGCTTCTGAAGTGTCGTAGAGACTTCAACATAGGCGTTGACGAAGCCGCATATGCATTATATATAGGAGTTATTGAGCAACACATGGCCTAAAATCCTTACTTATCGATAAATTCGCATAAACCATTTTGGGCTGGTGCTAAGCCCATTTCGATATGATCGTGATGGTGTCTTCAGATCAGGAAAGGCAAAAGAACCGCAATTAGCATATTAATATATGACTTTTACACAAAAACATATGCCTTAAAGTGCTTACTTTTTTCAGTTATTGGCGAAAAACTGAATTCGGTTCCAGAAATCATCCAAACAATGGTATCTGGTTAATTGGTCTATGAAGGCCCTAAAGGTTTTGAATGTGTGCAAATTGTCAGAATGCCATGTTTAAATACAACTTATAAGCAACATGTACCTTCAGATTCTATTTTTATATCTTTATTAAAATATAATTCAACTCATACTACACAGCGTGATAGTCAGGCTACCAGTGTTTTAGCAGAGCTTTCTCATAACTTTCAGATTCTTATTTTTATATCTTTATTAAAATATAATTCAACTCATACTGCACAGTGTGATAGTCAGGCTACCAGTGTTTTAGCAGAGCTTTCTCATAAATTTCAGATTCTTATTTTTATATCTTTATTAAAATATAATTCAACTCATACTACACAGCGTGATAGTCAGGCTACCAGTGTTTTAGCAGAGCTTTCAAATAACTTTCAGATTCTTATTTTTATATCTTTATCAAAATATAATTCAACTCATACTGCACAGTGTGATAGTCAGGCTACCAGTGTTTTAGCAGAGCTTTCAAATAACTTTCAGATTCTTATTTTTATATCTTTATTAAAATATAATTCAACTCATACTGCACAGCGTGATAGTCAGGCTACCAGTGTTTTAGCAGAGCTTTCTCATAACTTTCAGATTCTTATTTTTATATCTTTATTAAAATATAATTCAACTCATACTGCACAGCGTGATAGTCAGGCTACCAGTGTTTTAGCAGAGCTTTCTCATAACTTTCAGATTCTTATTTTTATATCTTTATTAAAATATAATTCAACTCATACTGCACAGCGTGATAGTCAGACTACCAGTGATTTAGCAGAGCTTTCTCATAACTTTCAGATTCTTATTTTTATATCTTTATTAAAATGTAATTCGACTCATACTGCACAGCGTGATAGTCAGGCTACCAGTGTTTTAGCAGAGCTTTCAAATATCTTTCAGATTCTTATTTTTATATCTTTATTAAAATATAATTCAACTCATACTGCACAGCGTGATAGTCAGGCTACCAATGTTTTAGCAGAGCTTTCACATAACTTTCAGATTCTAAGTAGAATTTCTTGTTTCATAGAATATTAGACAAGTAATTTGGTAAAGAATTGAGGGGTCAATTAAAAATAAAACAAGAAAATCCAGGTCAGTCCATCAACTGGGCTCAGATCCAAGTCAAGATAAGTCCCTCAACTAGGCTCAGAACAAATCCAGGTTAGCCCCTCAACTAGGTTCAGAAACAAATTCAGGTTAGTCCTTCAACTTGGATCCTCTGGTGGGGGAGATCTCTAGGAATGTCAATGAGAAGCTTTCCTACAACGCCCTCAACTTCGAGCAGGGGTAGCAGATTACTCAGTCTCCTGTGGTGAAAATTAGTTTAATAAATATTCTATGAATTATTTTAAAAATTTGTTTAATAACTCTATTTCATCAAGTAATTTTATAGCTAGATAATTAATGTTACTTAACAGAACAGTTAGGGTTTCAGTTACTTACATCAAGTAAGGCAGCCCAATCTATTTCGGGGATAGGCAACGGCATCTGCTTCCCTTTCGATTTCTGTAGAATTTGAATATGTTATTTACAATACAACCATCGTTTTTAGAACACTGCTTCGTTATATATAATTATATATATCTACCAAATAAAGTGAACCAATCGAATGGAATCGATTCTCTAGAGTTGGTAAAAGCAATGTGAAAATGGATTATTTAACTAACAATGCGTGATAGCACATAATTAAAGTGATAAGCATAATTTAATGTTTGTTTGATGTGAAATGCGATAACTAGTTTAAATTCTAGTATATTTACGATATACAACTTGCAAAGCACAGCCTATCTATGTCAATTTGTGATTTTCAATGAGCTTACTGGTTTCGTTTGGGGGTTCTCTGTAAATTCCTGAGAAACCCTGCCCCTTGACTTTCCTGATCTTGCACCCTGTAATATGATTAGGTTATGCATAGTGGTAGCATACATTGATATCTAGTTATGCAATTCATCTGAAAAAAACAAAAAAAACATTGAAATATTCACAAATCGCAATTCGACAGCGAATTGCACAACTAGACGTCGATAAAATTTATTGAAAGCGTCTATCTTAGTATGATAAAGCTAAGTTGGTTGTCATCAGACCACTCTAAGTGAAAATCTAATACCTAACATAAATTCTGAATCTCTTTTGTATACGATTTAAAGTCAGAACTATATGAAAATGAAAATTTACGTTGGTCTCAGCTGGTGTCACTGTCCTTTTTACCGGCTGAAAAATTATCGGAGTAGGAAGCAAACATACACTAAAACCATGGTTATCTTTATTTGTGAATTAAGACCATAAATATAAATACACTCTTTAATTCTTATACATTTTTTTAATTAATTGATGCTAAAAAAGTGAAATAGCAAATTCATTTATATTGGAATCTTTAAAAATGTACCTTTCTTTTTTTCGGGGTATCCTCTACTTGGTTGTCCAGGATGGCAATACCAACAATATTCTTAAACTTTCTGCCACCATGGTTTGCAGACACCTTTTCTCTGATTTGTATTCATACTCTATCAGTCTCCTAAAAGATTAGTATTGAAATACCTAAGCTAATAAAAGTATATCTTCGGTCAGTGGAGATGTTAACTAACTATTTTGAACTCATCATCAAGAACACACAGTCTTTCTACCAATACCATGTTACCATTGAAAGATCGTATATGACAGATATATCTTTTATTATCAAGGGTATTTCAATACTTTTAATGTAAGTAACGAGCTAAGCTACAGTACTTACTTTTAACAATTGCGGTATGATCTGGTTGTAAACTGTAAAGTCTTCTACCGTGTCATCGTTGAACATAATGGTAAGTGCTGTCTTATCCTTGCCTGGTGATGCCAAGAATTCTATTTTCCCGTTTAAGTACATAATCTTTCTAAAGTTGAACAAATGGTTAAGGGTATGAGAAAATGGATAACTAAAGTTTCTCAATAGTTTACATGGATTAATCAGTTAAAATTAGATAATATTGGTAAGAAGGTTTTAAGATTGTTGGAGGAACCAACAGAGATGAACAAGAAGTGAATAAAAATGTGTGCGTATCTAGTCTATCCGTGATATTTTTACTGAAAAATGGGTGTATTTGCGCTGGATAGGATCAAAATTTTAGTCTTTTGAACGTCATCGCAAAGAGTTTGAAAAGCGATTGTTCTTACACATTCAAGGAAAAGAAGCACCCACCCTTCTCATGGTTAAATATCGTCCCAGAGTCTTAAACAAAGAACTTAAACTTAAAGAGAACTGAATGTTAGTGAACTGGAAGTGGTGCAGCTATATAAGGACGCCTGTGCTCATTTCATTTGGGCTCAACATTCCTCCTTTTCTACTTACTTGTATCCAGTCCAAAAAAGAATTTCACTGTAGTTTGCTTGCATCAAGATACCTTACTAGCTTGCATCAAGATAGTATGGTAGGTAAACTGTGCTACACTTCACTTTGTTACTATGATCTGTGATAAATTTAAATTAAAATAAAATTTGTCACCGTTCAAGTTAAATAAGGCAGTCCAAAAAAACAATTTCACTGTAGTTTGCTTGCATCAAGATACCTTACTAGCTTGCATCAAGATAGTATGGTAGGTAAACTGTGCTACACTTCACTCTGTTACTATGATCTATGATAAATTTAAATTAAAATAAAATTTGTCACCGTTCAAGTTAAATAAGGCAGTCCAAAAAAAAGAATTTCACTGTAGTTTGCTTGCATCAAGATACCTTACTAGCTTGCATCAAGATAGTATGGTAGGTAAACTGTGCTACACTTCACTCTGTTACTATGATCTATGATAAATTTTAACTTCTAAGAATTTAGCTTCCATGCAATAGACAGTGAGCTAGTTGAACAATGAGTTTATCATGCACCTGGATCAGTAAACAGTACTTTCATCTAAGAACTGAATAAAGGAACGAGTTTGTGATGAATGCGTTAAAGTCTAGTAGGGTAGGGGTGTGGTAGTTTTTAGATCAAATAAGTGAAAAATTTAGCTTCCATGTGGTGGATATCAAGTTGGTTGAACAATGAGTTATTGAATTTTACAAGCTCACCGCTCGATTCAATCATCTGCTCTATCTAAATGAAAAACTTCGTACGCTGTTAATTAATCTTCATGGTTCATACAATAACTTCACTCGAGGAGAGACCGTTTGCACTGTTAACAATATCTAGAGAGGCCAGAGGGTTGACTGTTTTCTCTATTCTAGATCTATTCAATAGAGGCTGACAAAGTTTTATGGAACTGCAGACAATAGTTAAAAAGAACTAACTGTTTTCTGGATCTTCAGACTCTAATCATAGAGAGTTACTCTTTAGATCTACAGATAATAGTAAAAAAAAGGAGTGATTGGTTCAGCAATAGAGTTTGTAAAACGGTTATCAAGTATCAAAAATCCGTGAAATTTTTACAAGTGTCGAAAATGCTCGAAATTTTTACAAGTATCGAAAACCCGTGAAATTTTTACAAGTGTCGAAAATCCTCGAAATTTTTACAAGTGTCGGAAAATCCTCGAAATTTTTACAAGTGTCGAAAATGCTCGAAATTTTTACAAGTATCGAAAATCCGTGAAATTTTTACAAGTGTCGGAAAATGTGTGCAATAGCAAAATGTGTGCTACAGAGGGTAAATATCTCTTACTGGCTGATAACACCGTCATCGTATTCAGCTCTGACAATGGAGCAAATGTAGGGTGCGTAAGCCATGTCACTGCTAGTAATTACCCTTACAGAGGCGGCAAACGTTCTATCTATGAAGGTGGGATCAGATCACCTTCATTTGTATGGGCTGGAAGTCGACTAGCTCCTGCAACATCTAACGCTCTCATTCACGTTGCTGATTGGCTGCCCACATTTTGGGGTCTTGCTAGTCTGCAAGGGACGATGAAGCCGAACAACCCCATCAAAACTAAGTCACTAGATGGCGTAAATCAGTGGCAGACTATATCAGAGAATAAAGCTTCGGAGAGGACGGAGATCTTACTGAATATTGATCCTTATCCTCTAAGTAATGGTCACAAGGTCCCTAACTATGGGATCAGATGGAAAGAGTGGAAACTAATTCTAGGGTCAGGGGGTCCCCCAAGTGGCTGGTACCCAGCTCCAAGACTGAACGATCTCGAGACCGCGGACAGAACTTGCCACAAACCTATCGCAGGCCTCGTGGAGTTATACAATATCGAGCTGGATCCTTACGAACGTAGAAATGTGTCCGACCGCTACCCTCACCTTGTAAAGAAGCTAACTCACAAGTTGATGGCGTACAATGCTACTGCTGTTCCACCAGGGAATACTAAACATGACCCAGCTTCAAGTCCTAAGAATTTCAACCACACATGGATGCCTTGGATGGAAGATGGGGAGGAAGTGGGGGAGAATATGAGGAAGAACTTGTGGGAGATGGAAGAGTACAACTGGGTCCAAATGGAGGTGGAAGAGCTGCCGGACCCTTGCTACCAGGTTGTGAATAATGATGTAGATTTATGAGCTTCAACAAACTTGTTCAGAGTGATTAATATGATTTAACGAACAACTATGAACTGGGCTTTTTTTTAAACTTTTCCATGGTTATGTCAATAAATCTAACAAGATTTTAACAAGGTAGAAAAAAATTAAAGGTTTCGCTTATTGTTTGTAAAAAGTAGGTGCTTGAATTTTGTTGTGTTCTCTGAGCCATTATATTAATCATTTATATTTTTATTTCTTTTCTAAAATTTTAGAAAATTTGTTAAACAGATAGTTAATTGGGAATGGAAGCATTCAGTAAAATAAAACTACCAAGTCACAAGCGTTTTTACTTATTTTAGCAAATGTGGAAAAACGTCACCCAAAATTTTTAGAACTGGTTATTTAATTGAGTGAAATTGGAATTACGGAAACAGTTATAGTACAGCAACAGAGATCTGAAAAATATTATTTCAATATTTGATTACTTATCTTGGAGCTGTATTGAATTTATCGTAGAGATTTAGTATATAATAGCCTGGGGTCCCCAGGTAAATAAAGACTTTAAATTATGGGTCCACGTGCATCATAGTCGTTCACTAAGAGTATAGAACGCGAGCCCTTGCTAATTATAAATATGATTAGAGATGATCTGCACGATCAGTCTATCTAGAATTATAAAAGGTCCAACGAAACAAGAATCAATTATTGAACAGCTGGCATCCCAACACCATTTATCTTATATTTCTTATTTTCCACTTAACTCCAGTTTAATTAATTTTCCAACACGTGCCTTCCAGTATCAATCTATTAGTATTCGTCTTGCAGGTGTTTTTTATCTTTACGAGCTGATCTAAATAGGTGGCTCCTTAGTGTCTAACAGTCTTACGATAATTGCTGAGAGGTTTCCTTACGTTTGCTCTTTTTTCAGCTTCGTCGGTTTTGATTAATAATGGTAGTCATTGTATAGATTTGAAAAAATGTAGGACGGTCGCTAGATTAATTTAAATTCATACCAGATTTCAAACATGACGATCTTTGGAGAGAATTTTATTGGGTACCCTAACGGAACAATCCAGCAAGACGAACCAACGGAAGCCTCATGCAACGACATCTTCTTTATATCACTGACCCTCAACCTCCTTATCACCACAATAATAAACCCCGTGGTGCTATCTATCCGACTAAAAACTGCAGCACGGAGCATACCCAGCTTCCTAACATCCTTCCTGATGGTAACAGACCTGGTCACCAACACCTATTTCCCCGTACTATGGGGATACAAGCTGCTGAGGGGGAAGGAGGAAGATAAACTGGTCTATCTGCTAACCACGCCCTACGAGGTATTCAACACGTGCCTGCTTGAGATCGTGTCCATTCTCTCAGTCTGGTACGTGGCAGTTTTGAGTAACCTGGCTAAGGACAGTATACTCCATCCACTGAAGAGGAGATCCGTGAAGAGAATTAAAGGTATCATCGTCGGAGGGACCGGTTCTGTTGTGGTTTTGGTAATCACTGTGGTTGCAGTTTTCTTGGTGGTACTGCCCGAGCATTTTGATTTAACCATGATATTTTCCAGATATAATCAAAAAGTTGGTGATCTTCAAAACATAGCAATCCAAATTTTCTTGGCAATACGAAGTGTTTGTATTGTCCAGATCATCTCATCGTACCTCCACGTAGCGTACAAGCTGATGATAAAGAAATCAGGGATGGAGGAGACAAGAGTTCAAAGAGAGAAAGGAGGTAGGGCCGCTCTAGCCATGAGCCTCGCTGCTATCGCGGGGTACATATTCGAGCTTACAACAAAATTTACCCCATACTGGGCACAAGGAAACTTAAATTATTACAACGGTTTCATTATTAATTGCTTCATACCGTCGATGCTAGCAGCGTACAATTCGTTCATTCAGCTAGCTCTGGTGAATGAAGTGAAGAAACGGTTCACACCAAATAGATCAGGAGGAGTTGTTGCTCCAGTTCAGCACACAAGAGCTTGTGAGTTGGATCATGAGGATGATGTTATTCAAAATAACAATGCTGGGACTGAACTTTGAAGCACAGGATTTCAGTTTTAACTGACCGGCAGAGATGTGCACCGTGTTACTTTTAGGCGGCGGCGGTCAGGACGCCAAAATTGGTCGGCGGCGGTGGTCTGACCGCGGTCTGACTACTAGATATCCAAACCGCGGTCTACTGTGAACATGATGGTAATTTGGTTGTTTAACTGATGTATATGAATCGATTTCTTAATATCACTCTACATTGAAGAACTAATTAATTTATTGTTAACAGCTGTATTTGTTGATCTGACGGCCAATACCTCAAAGTCATAGACCGCGGTCTGGGTCAAAATTTCGCGGCGGCGGTCTGGGTCAACATTTCGCGGCGGCGAATCGAGGTGCACGTCTCTGGTAAAGAACTATATATGGTGATGTGTTAACAAGAATGGTTCTTGGTAGAATTGTGTTCCGTTATTTCTCTAAAACTTGTACTTGATTAATTTAAATAGGTTCAGATTATATCTTTCAAAATATGAAATTTAACACCCAAGCCAGTGGGTACTGCCAACGATAAGATTCTAGGTTTATGATAAACAGAAAATGTGGTATATATAATCGAATCACCGCTTTACTTTCCTTCAAGGGATTTTATTACTTGAGTTGTAATTCATTGGCAATTTATTTGCAAGAATTATGATTTGCTTTGCTTTTCTTTGTGCTCTATCGATAGTGCAGTCTGCCAATTCTGAAGAGAAGCAGCCTAATATCATTTACATTCTGAGCGATGATCTGGGACATGGAGACCTTGGTTTTGCTGGAGGGAAAATCAAAACACCAAACTTGGATAAACTGGCAAATGAAGGTAGGGACTCAGAAAAACACGGAAATTCAACCCCAAATCAATTATACAACAAGCAGAATGAATAAATAGTCTGTAAGAAATTAAATGATTATGAAAACGACTTTGGTTTACATCTGATTTGACGAGCTGTAAAATTACAGGTGTGCTCCTAAAACAGCACTACGTCCAGCCGATTTGCTCTCCCACCCGGAGTGCTCTAATGTCAGGCAGGTATCCAATACACACAGGACTTCAGCATTTCGTCATTCTTCCAGGTCAACCCTGGGGGCTTCCTCTTGACGAGACTATTATTCCTCAAATACTTAAGGAGTACAACTACTCAACTCATGCTGTGGGAAAGTGGCATCTTGGCATGCACACATGGTCCTACACCCCTGCACATCGTGGGTTCGATGACTTCTTTGGGTACTATCTGGGAAGTCAGGACTACAACACCCACATAAGAGGCGGAGGATATGATCTGAGGAGTGATTATTGGGATGAAAACGGTCAGTTCGTTGACGATGTGAGATATGATCTTAAGGGACAGTACAGCACGGAGCTTTACACTCAGCGGATGGTAGATCTGATCTCTGACAAGAAGGCTCAAAAGAACCCCTTCTTTATTTATATGGCCTATCAAAACGTACACGCTCCTCATATGGTCCCTCAGAGGTACATAGACCAGTATTCGACCCATATAAAAGATGGACAGGAGAAAACCTTCGCAGCGATGGTCAGTGCAATGGACGAAGGGATAGGAAACATAACCGCAGCACTGGAGGCAGCAGGTTTGGCTGATAACACCGTCATCGTATTCAGCTCTGACAATGGAGCAGACGTAGAATGTGTAGAGACGGTCACTGCCAGTAATTTCCCTTACAGAGGAGGCAAGCGTTCTCTTTATGAGGGCGGGCTTAGATCTCCTTCATTTGTATGGGCTGGAGGTCGACTAGCTCATGCAACATCCAACGCTCTCATTCACGTTACTGATTGGCTTCCCACATTTTGGGGTCTTGCTAGTCTGCAAGGGAAGCTAAAGCCAAACAACCCCATCAAAACTAAATCACTAGATGGTGTAAATCAGTGGCAGACAATATCAGAGAACAAAGCTTCGGAGAGGACGGAGATCCTGCTCAACATTGATCCTTATCCCCAACGTTGTGGGCACCAGCTTCCTAACTACGGGATCAGATGGAAGGAATGGAAACTCATCTTAGGATCAGGGGGTCCTCCGAACGGCTGGTACCCAGCTCCAAGACTGAACGATCTCGAGACCGCGGACAGAACTTGCCACAAACCTATCGCAGGCCTCGTGGAGCTATACAATATCGAGCTGGATCCTTACGAACGTAGAAATGTGTCCGACCGCTACCCTCACCTTGTAAAGAAGCTAACTCACAAGTTGATGGCGTACAATGCAACTGCTGTTCCACCAGGGAACATGGCAACCGACCCAGCTTCCGACCCCATACATTTCAACCACACATGGATGCCTTGGATGGAAGATGGGGAGGAAGTAGGGGAGAATTTGAGGAAGAACTTGTGGGAGATGGAAGAGTACAACTGGGTCCAAATGGAGGTGGAAGAGCTGCCGGACCCTTGCTACCAGGTTGTGAATAATGGTGTAGATTTATGAGCTTCAACAAACTAGTTCAGAGTGATCAATATGATTTAACGAACAACTATGAACTGTGCTTATTTTTTACTTTTCCATGGTTATGTCAATAAATCTAACAAGATTTTAACAAGGTAGAAAAAAATGAAAGGTTTCGCTTATTGTTTGTAAAAAGTAGGTGCTTGAATTTTGTTGTGTTCTCTGAGCCATTATAGTAATCATTTATTTTTTATTTCTTTTCTAAAATTTTAGAAAATCTGTTAAACAGATAGTTAATTGGGAATGGAAGCATTCAGTAAAATAAAACTACCAAGTCACAAGCGTTTTTACTTATTTTAGCAAATGTGGAAAAACGTCACCCAAAATTTTTAGAACTGGTTATTTAATTGAGTGAAATTGGAATTACGGAAAAAGTTATAGTACAGCAACAGAGATCTGAAGAATATTATTTCAATATTTGATAACTTATCTTGGAGCTGTATTGAATTTATAGTAGAGATTTAGTATATAATAGCCTGGGGTCCCCAGGTAAATAAAGACTTTAAATTATGGGTCCACGTGCATCATAGTCGTTCACTAAGAGTATAGAACGCGAACCCTTGCTAATTATAAATATGATTAGAGATGATCTGCACGATCAGTCTATCTAGAATTATAAAAGGTCCAACGAAACAAGAATCAATTATTGAACAGCTGGCATCCCAACACCATTTATCTTATATTTCTTATTTTCCACTTAACTCGACTCCAGTTTAATTAATTTTCCAACACGTGCCTTCCAGTATCAATCTATTAGTATTCGTCTTGCAGGTGTTTTTTATCTTTACGAGCTGATCCAAATAGGTGGCTCCTTAGTGTCTTACAGTCTTACGATAATTGCTGAGAGGTTTCCTTACGTTTGCTCTTTTTTCAGTTTCGTCGGTTTTTATCAATAATGGTAGTCATTGTATAGATTTGAAAAAATGTAGGACGGTCGCTACAATTAATTTAAAATTCGTACCAGATTTCAAACATGACGATCTTTGGAGAGAATTTTATTTGGTACGCTAACGGAACAATCCAAGACGAACCAACGGAAGCCTCATGCAACTACATCTTCTTCATATCACTGTCCCTCAATCTCCTCATCACCACAATAATAAACCCCGTGGTGCTATCTATCCGACTAAAAACTGCAGCACGGAGCATACCCAGCTTCCTAACATCCTTCCTGATGGTAACAGACCTGGTCACCAACACCTATTTCCCCGTACTATGGGGATACAAGCTGCTGAGGGAGAAGGAGGAAGATAAACTGGTCTATCTGACAACCACGCCCTACGAGGTATTCAACACGTGCCTGCTTGAGATCGTGTCCATTCTCTCGGTCTGGTACGTGGCAGTTTTGAGTAACCTGGCTAAGGACAGTATAATCCATCCACTGAAGAGGAGATCCGTGAAGAGAATTAAAGGTATCATCGTCGGAGGGACCGGTTCTGTTGTGGTCTTGGTAATCACTGTGGTTGCAGTTTTCGTGGTGGTACTGCCCGAGCATTTAACCATGATATTTTCCAGATATAATCAAAAAGTTGGTGATCTTCAAAACATAGCAATCCAAATTTTCTTGGCAATACGAAGTGTTTGTATTGTCCAGATCATCTCACCGTACCTCCACGTAGCGTACAAGCTGATGATAAAGAAATCAGGGATGGAGGAGACAAGAGTTCAAAGAGAGAAAGGAGGTAGGGCCGCTTTAGCCATGAGCCTCGCTGCTATCGCGGGGTACATATTCGAGCTTACAACAAAATTTACCCCATACTTGGCACAAGGAAACTTAAATTATTACAACAGTTTCATTATTAATTGCTTCATACCGTCGATGCTAGCAGCGTACAATTCGTTCATTCAGCTAGCTCTGGTGAATGAAGTAAAGAAACGGTTCACACCAAATAGATCAGGAGGAGTTGTTGCTCCAGTTCAGCACACAAGAGCTTGTGAATGTGAGTTGGATCATGAGGATGATTATATTCAAAATAACAATGCTGGGACTGAACTTTGAAGCACAGGATTTCAGTTCTAACTGACCGGCAGAGATGTGCACCGTGTTACTTTTAGGCGGCGGTGGTCTGGACGCCAAAATTGGTCGGCGGTGGCGGTCTGACCGCGGTCTGACTACTAGATATCCAAACCGCGGTCTACTGTGTACATGGTGGTAATTTGGTTGTTTAACTGATGTATATGAATCGATTTCTTAATATCACTCTACATTGAAGAACTAATTAATTTATTGTTAACAGCTGTATTTGTTGATCTGACGGCCAATACATCATAGTCATAGACCGCGGTCTGGGTCAAAATTTCGCGGCGGCGGTCTGGGTCAACATTACGCGGCGGCGGCGAATCGAGGTGCACGTCTCTGGTAAAGAACTATATATGGTAATGTGTTAACAAGAATGGTTCTTGGTAGAATTGTGTTCCGTTATTTCTCTCAAACTTGTACTTGGTTAATTTATATAGGTTCAGATTGCATCTTTCAAAATATGAAATTTAACACCCAAGCCAGTGGGTACTGCCAACGATAAGATTCTAGGTTTATGATAAACAGAAAATATGGTATATATAATCGAATAACCGCTTTACTTTCCTTCAAGGGGTTTTATTACTCGAGTTGTAATTCATTGGCAATTTATTTGCAAGAATTATGATTTGCTTTGCTTTTTTTGGTACTCTATCGATAGTACAGTCTGCCAATCCTGAAGAGAAGCAGCCTAATATCATTTACATTCTGAGCGATGACCTGGGCCATGGAGACCTTGGTTTTACTGGAGGGAGAATCAAAACACCAAACTTGGATAAACTGGCAAATGAAGGTAGGGACTCAGAAAAACACGGAAATTCAACCCCAAATCAATTATACAACAAGCAGAATGAATAAAGAGTCTGTAAGAAATTAAATGATTATGAAAACGACTTTGGTTTACATCTGATTTGACGAGCTGTAAAATTACAGGTGTGCTCCTAAAACAGCACTACGTCCAGCCGATTTGCTCTCCCACCCGGAGTGCTCTAATGTCAGGCAGGTATCCAATACACACAGGACTTCAGCATTTCGTCATTCTTCCAGGTCAACCCTGGGGGCTTCCTCTTGACGAGACTATTATTCCTCAAATACTTAAGGAGTACAACTACTCAACTCATGCTGTGGGAAAGTGGCATCTTGGCATGCACACATGGTCCTACACCCCTGCACATCGTGGGTTCGATGACTTCTTTGGTACTATCTGGGAAGTTCAGGACTACCACACCCACATAAGAGGCGGAGGATATGATCTGAGGATGATTCTTGGGATGAAAACGGTCATTCGTTGACGATTGTGAGATATATCTAAAGGGACAGTACAGCAAGGAGCTTTACACTCACGGATGGTAGATCTGATCTCTGACAAAAGGCTCAAAAAACACCTTCTTTATTATATGGCCTTATCAAAACGAACACCGCTCCTCATATGGTCCCTCAGAGGTACAATAGACCAGTATTCGACCCATATAAAAGATGGACAGGAGAAAACCTTCGCAGCGATGGACAGTGCAATGGACAGGGGATAGGAAACATAACCGCATCACTGGAGGCAGCAGTTTTTTTTTATATTTTTTGGCTGATAACACCGTCCACGTACTTCGCTCTGACAATGAGCAGACGTAGAATGTGAGAGACGGTCACTGCCAGTAATTTCCCTTACAGAGAGGCAGCGTTCTCTTCATGAGGGGCCGGGCTAGATCTCCTTCATTTGTATGGGCGGAGGTCGACTAGCTCATGCAACATCAACGCTCTCATTCACGTAACTGGATTGCTTCCCACATTTGGGGTCTTGCTAGTCTGCAAGGGAAGCTAAAGCCCAAACAACCCCATCAAAACTAAATCTCTAGGATGGTGTAACATCAGTGGCAGACAATTATCAGAGAACAAAGCTTCGGAGAGGACGAGATCCTGCTCAAACATTGATCTTATCCCCACGTTTGTGGGCACCAGCTTCCAAACTACGGGAACAGATGGGAAAGAATGGAAACTCATCTTAGGACAGGGGTCCTCCGAACGGCTGGTACCCAGCTCCAAGACTGACGATCTCGAGAAGACCGCGACAGAACTTGCCACAAACCCTATCGCAGGCCTCGTGGAGTTTACAATATCGAGCTGGATCCTTACGAACGAAGAAATGTGTCCGACCGCTACCCTCACCTTGTAAAGAAGCTAACTCACAATTTGATGGCGTACAATTGCAACTGCTGTTCCATCCCAGGGAACATGGCAACCGACCCAGCTATCCAGACCCCAACATTTTCAACCACACATGGATGCCTTGGATGGAAAGATGGGGAGGAAGTAGGGAGAATTGAGGAAGAACATTTGGGAGATGGAATAGTACCACTGGGTCCCAATTGGAGGTGGAAGAGCTGCCGGACCCTGCTACCAGCAGGTTGTGAATAACGATGTAGATTTATGAGCTTTGAGTGATACAACAAACAAATTCAGGATTCAATTAACTTGACAAAAAAATGTATTTCTTATTTCAGTGTTTTTAAAGGTTAACTGTCGAGATCGAATCAAAAGGTTTCCGAAACAGATCTGACTAATAATTTGTATAAATAAGTTTTTTAATGTTTTAATGTTATTTATATTTTAACTCGTTTTTTTTCATATTATGCACGGTGGGCTCGATTGAGCGATAGAAATAGAGGGTACTTGAATTGATAATTTCCGACAATGAAGGAAGCTTTTCTGCAAGTTGAATGGAAAGTTTAAAGGTTTGAGCAAATGTAGAAGAGCAGCAAATAGTTTTACAACATGGACTTGATTGATGTTTTTATTTTAAAACAAAACATAGACATTAGAAACCTACAAGTCCTACATAAAACTAAAATCTAAAAAGGTGTGAAACACTGTGGATTTCTGTAAATGTTTGCACAGTTTTTGGTGAATTTGTTTTCCGTTACGTCATTCAAACATGTGCTTGATTCAGCGTAGGGTTTGGCAGCGATTAGGGAGCTCCGTTATAGGCGCGCGGTTCCTTCGAGAGTGAAATTTTGTACCCATCGTATAAAGGGCGGGGGTGAGGCAACGTAGTTTTCTCGTATAAGGGGGTGGACATGCGCGTTTCCCGTGTTTATGCGCGGCGTTACGGCGGTGACTCAAATTCATTATTGAAGAGCTATGATTTGTTTCGTTGTTCTTTGTGCACTGTCGATAGTGCAGTCTGTAACATTTGACAAGAGGCAGCCTAATATCATTTACATTCTGAGCGATGATCTGGGCCATGCAGACGTCGGTTTTACTGGAGGGAAAATCGAAACACCAAACTTGGATAAACTGGCAAAAGAAGGTAAGGAAACAGATAAAACGCATGTTGATCATTGAACCACAAAAACCACTGTCAAACAAAATCCGGCAAAACGATTTGAAGTTGTATTATCAAAAAATTATGATAACAAACATGACTTTCATAAGAATCCAACAAAAAACAGCTTGAGCTAGATTTTATGCGCTGTAAAATTACAGGTGTGCTCCTAAAACAGCACTACGTTCTTCCAGTCTGTTCTCCAACTCGAGGAGCTCTGATGTCAGGTAGGTATCCGATACACACGGGTATGCAACACGGAATCATCCATCCAGGTGAACCCTGGGGTCTTCATCTGGACGAGACCATCATCCCTCAGGTGTTAAAGGAGTACAACTACTCAACTCATGCTGTGGGAAAGTGGCATCTTGGTATGCACACATGGTCCTACACCCCTGCACATCGTGGGTTCGATGACTTCTTTGGGTATTATCTGGGAAGTCAGGACTACAACACCCACATAAGGGGCGGAGGATATGATCTGAGAGACGATTACTGGACTAAGAAAGGCAAGTTCGTTGACGATGTGAGATATGATTTAAAGGGACAGTACAGCACGGAGCTTTACACTCAGCGGATGGTAAATCTGATCTCTGACAAGAAGGCTCAAAAGAACCCCTTCTTTATTTATATGGCCTATCAAAACGTACACGCTCCTCATATGGTCCCACAGAGGTACATAGACCAGTATTCGACCCATATAAAAGATGGACCGGAGAAAACCTTCGCAGCGATGGTCAGTGCAATGGACGAAGGGATAGGAAACATAACCGCAGCACTGGAGGCAGCAGGTTTGGCTGATAACACCGTCATCGTATTCAGCTCTGACAATGGAGCACATGTTGGTTATGTGAAACATATTACAGGTAGCAATTATCCGTTCAGAGGCGGTAAACGCTCTATTTACGAGGGTGGGATCAGGTCTCCTTCATTTGTATGGGCTAGAGGTCGACTAGCTCATGCAACATCCAATGCTCTCATTCACGTTACTGATTGGCTGCCCACATTTTGGGGTCTTGCTAGTCTGCAAGGGAAGCTAAAGCCAAACAACCCCATCAAAACTAAATCACTAGATGGTGTAAATCAGTGGCAGACAATATCAGAGAACAAAGCTTCGGAGAGGACGGAGATCTTACTGAATATTGATCCTTATCCTCTTGGTAGCAGGCACCCACTTCCTACCTATGGTATCATATGGAAAGAGTGGAAACTAATCTTAGGATCAGGGGGTCCCCCGGACGGCTGGTACCCTGCACCAAGTCTGAATGAGGTGGACCGGGCTTGTCACAGACCAGTGAATGGCTATGTAGAACTGTACAACATCGAGCTGGATCCATACGAACATAAAAATGTGTCTGATCGCTACCCTCACCTTGTAAAGAAGCTAACTCACAAGTTGATGGCATACAATGCAACTGCTGTTCCACCAGGGAATACTAAACATGACCCAGCTTCAAGTCCTAAGAATTTCAACCACACATGGATGCCTTGGATGAAAGATGGGGAGGAAGTAGGGGAGAATTTGAGGAAGAACTTTTGGGAGATGGAAGAGTACAACTGGGTTCAGATAGAGGTGGAAGAGCTGCCGGACCCTTGCTACCAGGTTGTGAATAACGATGTAGATATATGAGCTATGACGGAAACTATGCATAGCAATTTTTGGAGAAGAATAACATCAACATGTACACTGCGAGAGTACGATCAAAACTATAATATTGGGGGCTTGCTACGCTCAAGCTGAATATAATGATTTATGTTGATTCATGATTATTTTGATGAGTTTAAAATGCAAATGTTTTCAAAATGGCTTATTCTTATAGTGTTTGAATGGCGTCAGTGAATTGTTTCTCCTTGTTCTTTTTAAGGATTCTATATCTATATAAAGATATAAGAAACTGATCTAGTAGGCCGGGAAGTAACAAGTATTTTTAAAATATTTAAAAAAGTAGACATTAATTGGAATCGTAATTACTAAATTCAGGACCGCTAAATGATAGCAACAGATATACAGCAAACAAAATTTCAACATTTCAGAAATATCTTTGTGTAAAATATGTATCTTGGAGACAGCTAGTGTTACTGTTGACACGTTAAAAAAATCTAAAAAAGTTAGGAGCCAGTAATATTCAGTTGACTAACAGATCTCAACTACCAGGGCTAGGAGAGGAGACAATTGAAGAAGACAGTCACAGTGCCATCTCACTGGATGTGGACAGAACCCCTGGAGGTGACTCCTCCAGCACCAGCTCCAGACAAGTCAGCCCTCACTTGAGGATCCTGAGGGGACTCAGCAGAAAACTCCACGTTATAACCTCCACTATATCCAAACAAGATACTGAGATCAGCATGGGCTCCAGTAATGTCTTTTGTAGAAGCAAAACCGCTCCTCGGAGGGTAAGTTTAGAGAAGGGAACGAGCACTTTTTCAATGAACACTTCAGCAGAAACCAGTCAGGGAAGACAGGCAACAACACCAAGTTCTAACGACCGGAGCACGCCCTCTCTCTGGTATGAAAACATCACAACCCCTCTGAAAGCGTCCAAGAACATGTTCCGAGGAATGTTTGCAGATCTCCAAGACAAGACTTCTTCCACTTTTGGAGGGTGCACGCCGCGCACCGCACGTTTTTGCTCTGATGCGGACGACTTGAATCTAAATGAGCACTTGTATGGTGGCCGGGGTATGAGCATGGAGTCTCGAGTTATTGGCTTGACATCATATCCTGTAGAGGATATTGAGGACGAGACGTTTCAAGAAACAGAGGGGGAGGTGTTCGGCAACAGAAATGTCACACCAGCAAGACAGTCTGATAGAATATCAAGGGACAATTGTACACAACCAGCGGAAACTATAGCCAAAAGCCAGAGCACTGGTAATATAAGTGATTTTGGATTTGACCCAAAAATAAAATTCAACAATTTTGTACTTGATAGTAGTCTTTAGCCGTTAATTCTTTCATTAGCTTTTACGCACAATTTTTCGTTTAAGGACACGTTCATTTGAGTTTGAGGATATTGGTAAATATAAGTGACCCTATTAAAAGGCACAGTGTAGTTGACTTTGTCACACTATGAAATTACACAAACCCTTGATGGTTAGGATAATCGTCTCATCCTCTAGGCTAACTTTGTCACATAACGATATCTTAATCAGGTGATAAGATATCGCTTAAATACGGCCGGCACGGAAATGGTTACATTGTCACACTATAAACATGTGACAGAGTAAATATGGACCCCTTGCTGCCGTTTTTGACCAAAATTTTGAGTGTCCAGTTGATTGGATGTGTACATATGACCATTACCTACATATTTGACGACTTTTTTCGTTAGATGGTGCACTCAGGTTTACTCTGTCACACATTTAAGAAAATATGTGAACAATGTTTAGGGAACCCTGATAAGCAATGCTGAGTAGTGTAGGTTTAGTTAATGGCCTGGAAGTGCTAGGAATTGTTATTATATCATATAGTCGCAAGGAATTAAAACACAGAAGGCACAGACAAGTTTACTTTGTCACATAATCTTGATGATATCTGAACATGTGTGAAATTGAACAAATAATGATATACCAGCTTAAACCCTTTGTATTACGTACTATGGATCAAACAACACTGCTAGTACCATGCACCAGTCACATAAATCATTAACGTGTGGTAATATGTTAACAGTGTCACAATTAATCTACCACAACATGGTCAAAAATAGGGTAATTTCGTCACAAAAAAATTATCATAACTCTGTCAGCTCCTTGCTGGCAAAATAACTAGTTTATCGACATTTTTTTGATGATAAAATTACATAGTATTCTAATAGAGGTATAGTTCTTCAAAATAGGGGCAAGACATGTTTACTTTGTCACATCAGTTATTATAAGAGTTAGGTAATCGTTATCAGATTAACCGATCTTTTTCGTAGTATGGATCAATTAATATAGGCAATAAAGCATCCTAATTCCTATGCCAATTTTAACACACTATCTTGATATTGTTGGGGCAGGAAAAGTTAATTTTGTCACATGTTCAGTGTCTTTGACAAATTAATCTAAAATTGTTAAACTTGAGCTCTGATGTTCTGGACAACATTCTAACAATCGTTTCTGAAAGAATGTTGAATTCTAATACAGTTATAGATCTTCAAAATAGGGGCAAGACATGTTTACTTTGTCACATCAGTTATTATTAGAGTTAGGTAATCGTCATCACATTAAAATATTTTTTTTTGTAGTTTGGATTGATTTATTTAGGTAATAAAGCAGCCTATGCTAATTTTTACACACTGTCTTGAAATTGTTGGGGCAGGAAAAGTTAATTTTGTCACATTTTTAGTGACTTTGACAAATTTAACCTGAAATTGTTAAACTCGAGCTCTGATGTTCTGGACAATATTCTACCAATCGTTTCTGAAAGAATGTTGAATTCTAATACAGTTATAGATCTTCAAAATAGGGGCAAGACATGTTTACTTTGTCACATCAGTTATTATTACAGTTAGGTAATCGTCATCACATTAACATATATTTTTTTGTAGTTTGGATTGATTTATTTAGGTAATAAGGCAGCCTATGCTAATTTTTACACACTATCTTGAAATTGTTGGGGCAGGAAAAGTTAATTTTGTCACATTTTTAGTGACTTTGACAAATTTAACCCAAAATTGTTAAACTCGAGCTCTGATGTTCTGGACAATATTCTACCGATCGTTTCTGAAAGAATGTTGAATTCTAATACAGTTATAGATCTTCAAAATAGGGGCAAGACATGTTTACTTTGTCACATCAGTTATTATTACAGTTAGGTAATCGTCATCACATTAACATATATTTTTTTGTAGTTTGGATTGATTTATTTAGGTAATAAGGCAGCCTATGCTAATTTTTACACACTATCTTGAAATTGTTGGGGCAGGAAAAGTTAATTTTGTCACATTTTTAGTGACTTTGACAAATTTAACCCAAAATTGTTAAACTTGAGCTCTGATGTTCTGGACAATATTCTACCAATTTTTTCTGAAAGAATGTTAAATTCTAATAGAGTTATAGAATATATAGATCTTCAAAATAGGGGCAAGACATGTTTACTTTGTCACATCAGTTATTATAAGAGTTATTACTTATTATAAGAGACTATTTCATTATATAATCATTGTTTTTAACCTATTTACGATTTCGTTTAATTTTTTGTGACAATGTAAACATCAACTGATCTTAACTTGCATCAACTACATTGTCATCATGTAAAGTTTTCCCGCCTTTCCAACCAAAATCAGATATAAATAATTCGCCCAAAATTTTAAATTCCATATATTGTGACAGAATTAACCTCATTTCCCAATAACCAAGTGCCTGTATTAGCTTACTATTCAAAGCAACATATTTTAAGGCTATGATTGGTACTCCGTACTTGGTAGATCAACCATCAAATAATGAGTAAAAAGGGTTTTGAGGACACCTCACAGTAGAATAGAGGTATGGTATTCTGAGTGTGACAAAGTTACCTAAATATTGCCTTGTAACCGTTCGATCCGTGCCCTTTAACCAATGTTGTATCATAATTGTTAGATTGACCTAATCTACTATGTTCCAGACCAAGGAATGATAATTAGACAACTGCAGTTAACTAAGTCACACAAAATGTGACATTTGAACCATTATAGTGCCTAACAACAATAGATTTTCTTTCTGAGCAGTGCATATGGGAGTATGGGTTACGCGGCTAATGTTCAGAACTTCTGAACGTGCTAGGTTAATAGATGTCAAAATTAAGCCACTATCGTCAAAAACGCTATTATTTTTGTTTACCAATATCCTCAAACTCAAATGAACGTGTCCTTAAGTTATATCTATTTGCCTGGTCAAGAGTAGAGCTGCTTTAATTTTGTTCTGTTTTATTCGGGCTGTGAAAAATTGCTGAAATACCCCGAATCATTATTATTTGAAGCATTTATACTGTACTACATTTACCGTATTACGCTGAATTTTCAAATAATTTACTTTTTTGAACTATAATAGAAAAACAATTATTTCGTTAAATTGTCGAAGTAACAATGACAGCACCCGCTGATGAAACAAACAAAACAATTACAACCCACACGAGTCACACAAATAATATATTCTAAATTTCTAAATTGTCCAGATTTCAAATTTTTAGTTTTCTTTTGAAGAGCCAACGGGAAAATAAAGATGCTTCAAGTTAACAATGGAGGTGTTCGTTGTGGAAGCTTCAGATCTCAGTTTGAAGAAAACTTTGTCCTCTTTCTCGTCGCAGAATGTTTGGATGATTGACATGGTGTTGAAATCTTCTATCTGAAACTGGTTGTGCGGTTGTTAACAGGGTAAATAGGTACAATACTGACCGGCTGTGAGAGGGCTATTACTATTAGCCAGCTATCAGTTATAGCTACATTGCCAGATTCGCATCAACATGCATCGAAATCTTGGTTGAAATAAAATCAGGGCCTAGTTTTTCTATTAAAGCCATTACAACTCTGGGTCTGGCAAGAAGCTCGATAAGTATCGTCAACGAGCAAGGAAGCAGGCAATACGCATTATTGTGACCATATTCAAAGCGAGACTGTTTCTAAACGTATTATATGTGGCTATTAGTATTTACTCGTCTTATTTAATGAAATATATTACGATGTTGTTAATACTTGATAAAATATTTCATGACCTTACTAAGACACTTACCAGTGTCTTTACAAGGAAGGATTGTGATAGTCTGATCTCCTTGCAGTAACTGGTACTGTAAGATGTTATCCGATAGGGAGTAGTCCAGATCCCAGCTTGTAGCAGAGCAGAGAGACGGGCAAGTTTAGCTACACACAGATATTTGGTGTTGTTCATGTGTTTCATCCAATCTATGTCGTACGGATATACTTTACCTGCAACATTTCACAACCATGAGCAATAAGTTTGACAGTTAGTCTCAAGAGGTAATCCACCGAGGCGTGCAGTGCGAACTGTGTAGTGTGAACTGTGCAGTGTGATGGGTGCACCGCCTCTTTATATAATATAATGTCTTTAGTCTTACCGCCACCGTGGTACCCACTCATTTCATTATTTCACATTTTCAAGTTGCAGAATCGGCCGGAGATATGATCATCAGATAATTTACCTCATACCGTTTCTTTGAATAAAGTTAGTGCTCTCAAACCCCGATCAATATACTCCTGATAAATATCTACTTTCAAAGCACCCTTAATAATGAAATTAAAGCAGGCCATTCCTTTAATTGTAATGGGCTCATTTTGCGCTTATCTTTTATCACTTTTTAACAATTGTTTAAAAGTTTAAATGCTAATTTCGTCGTTCGTTCAATCTTTATTCTGCAACCCCGTACGTCTAAAAAAGTGTAAGTAGTGCGTAATCATGACTTCCTCTGTTATTGCTGGATCATCTATTAACATGAAGCCGACATGTTTTAATATAGTCATAGATGGTGTCCAATATTTGTTGGCGTACATTGGGGAAATAACTTGAATCTTCAAATGAACAAGATCCAAAAACACATGAATTTTATTTCAACAAAACTTACTTTCAAAGTAAAAGACACCCTGCTCTCCGGTCCTTGTTTTCGTAAAGAATCTTGAAATACAGCACCACACAGCCCGTCCATAGAAGACGTAGTCAAATTGCCTGGCAAGTCCTGAAATTGAAATGCTGATAAAGGTGGTACGCATTAATGAGTTGGATTGATATGCACTACTATACATGATTAATAAATAATAAATATACATGATATTTGGAAAATTCACAAATTTTAACGTATTTGAATATTAAATAATGGCATCAGCACCAAAAAAGTTTTCTTTCGAAAGTGCAGAAGTCATCGGATTCTCGGAATTAAAATATATTGTACGTTGGTTTTCCATTCTTACCACTGATCTAGCCTAGATAAATGCCGAAAAATAGCAATTTAATCAATGGAAGAACATTTATCAGTAAATAAATGGTCGAGTTGCCACGTGTTACTATAACCGAGTATAATAAAGCATGAAGTAAGCAATAAGTATTACAAGTAACGACAAAGGAACCTTTGTTGTGGCCGAGCTGTGTTATTCTTCGGAAACACAGCTCGGCCACAACAAAGGAGGCCATGCATAATATAATCATGAGATACTGGTATAACACACGTACTGCAGTTCATGATAATAAGATATTCATTTCTTGGAATTGCAATTCCAAGAAATTAAATTCTTATTATCATATTCATGTATACGATTTTCTTGATGTTTCTTGTCCTATATAGTATATATTGTAGCTACTATATATAGCTATTATATATGTGGCATAGGATTGTTATGATAATTTTCAACTCGGCCCGTTTCTAACAACACTATGACATAGTGTATAGAGTATAGAAAATAGACCCTGTATACGAATACAGTATTACTGTATAGTAAGAATAGAACTTTATAGTTTCTATCATTGAACCAACTTTCCTGGCTGGCCATACTATTCAATATTCATTCTGTAATGCCGATAAATGACCATGATACTAGCATGCTGTAAATTAATTTCATGTTGATAGATTTATCTTTCTATAACTACAGAAAATGTTTGAACTTTGATTAATAAATATTGAAAAATAACGTACCAACTAGATAAAAGGGGACGGCAGCCCATGTGAGGCTGATACAAGGGAGAACTGTGAAGACGAGATGGTAAAGAAGCTGAAACCCACCCAAAATATGGGTCAAAGAGGACAAGAGTGAGAAAAACACAACCTGTGAAGCTATGTCATGGCGAAAACGCATTTTGTACAACTATACAACCAGAGTGAGCTTATTTGTGTTGCACACAGATAGGTTATATACAGAAAACAAAAGGGATCGAGGCTGCATACAAGTGTAAAGTGCACAATACAGCTCTTATATTCAGTGTACTTCTAGGAGTGTGTATTCATTAAGATCTTTTGTTTGGTAACTTTACTTGACGAGCAGACAATATACTAATGTAAGTACCAAACTACTCACCACGTTATCTCATGGCTGTCACTTTTACATTATCTCCACACATTTAACTCCGGCATTCAGCGGGGATGCTATACCCAGAGGCAGGCAAACCGTCTTCATTTCATCCTTTTGTGGCCCACCTTTAAAAAAATACCAAACTGAGAGGTTGTCTGTGTAGAGAATTGGGTAGCGTATAAAAACTAAAAGCAGGTATTTCATTTATGTGTTAAGGTATAGATGGTTATTGGTTGAGTGATGCTGTCCCTTTTGGTCCACGTTCGTATTGCTTCAGTCGTGATACGTTCGGGGCTAAAACAAAATATACATAAGGAATAAAGTAATAAACCGAAAATTCCGATTTAGATTATTTTATAGTAAGCACGGTATTTCGTTTATATGATAGTTTTTATTTACGTACAAGGTTTTTTTGCATAAATTGGTCGTTGCACGGGCGAAATGGTTAGCTTAAATTTATGACCCCAACGGCCACGGGTCACTCATATAACGACTATTTTATTTACCTCGTGATTCATTGGCCTTCCTTTATTCACGATATTTTGTTAAATTATACATTTATTTATTTAATAGCCTATAAGTGCTGACAAAACTAAATTTATGTAAAAATTTCTACCGGTAAAAAGTTAAAATTAAAAATTCACTAGCCTGGGTTCTAAAGTCTAGCGCAAAATTAGTTTCATAGCATAGCGGTAAGGACAAAATACATTTTGACTTTCAAACTTTAAAAGTGCAACATCAAGTTTTTAATTTTTGAACATAATAAGCTTGGCTTTAGTGGGAGCGAATAAGCTGATAAAGAACCGAAATTCACAAAAATTATATCAAGAACATCCCCAGGTACCACAGGGTTGCCACACCCCAGAGGTAGGCAGAGCATCTCAATGCTATCCTCTCGTGGGCTTTCTTGGCCCAACCTCTCAAAAAAAAAGAAAGAAAAAAGTACCAACAAAATTTGGCACATTATTCGTGAAATCCAATAACGTGGCAATAACAATACTTAGAGGCTGGGGCCAGCTTATACATAAAGTCCGCTGGTAATTTTGGCCGTCCAGACTCCAGTAGTGGGCCGATAAGGTACTAAGGTAATTCGATAGAACATGACAACATTAACAAAGAAATAAGGTGAATATTTCTAAATATTCCCAACTTATCGGATGAATACGCCAAGAAACCAGTTCTGAGAGCACGTGGGCGGCACTTTGCTTATCACGTGGGCGGTACTCCTGCCAGTCATATATCCCAGCTCATTACTTCATTATACTTATATACTCCTCAGAAAAATTGACTGAAAATATTTTAACTTGAAGTGCAGTGCTCGTCTAGACTAAGTTCAGACAGTGGGAGCTTTACTAGCAGCTCTAACAGGGGGTACAGTTGTTGTAAATCTGAGAAGGTAAAGCTCGGGTGATATACGCGTACATATGTAACACTAAACCGGCCGATAAAGCATGAATGATATATACTCTTGCCCAAACTTATCATTCACTTCTACAAACCTGCCATTAAAATTCGTTCACTTTCGTATGTTTGAAATCTTTTTAGTTTGAGCTTGGATTAGCGGTGGAATTCCAGGGAATTTGGTGTGGTCTTAGGGCCTTTCTGTACGGTTGCTTGGTCATCAACCTAGGTCATATAGTAAATTCTTCGACTCAGTAAGTACTGCTATAGGATAGGTTCAGAAAAATAAAATTTCATTTTTATTTCTATTAATACTCAACCATGAATATTGGTCATATTATGCGGTTTTTGTGCTGTCATAATGATTTCTAAACACAGTACTAGGTACATTACATAATAAGGGCGTTTGTAAACGCGCTTAATCACTCAGATCATTTATGATGAGGTGCTAATTGATTTTGATAATGTAACCCGATCTGGTGAGTCTCAAAATTCAAGTGTGAATACCCACCTCCTTTCAGTTTTTGTGACGCCCAAGGCAACCCTTGCAACACTACAACCTTCCTGACGACTAATCTATTTCAGCAGTCTTGTACAAGGTAAGGAATATAACACTGTCAGATATAGCTTATGTAAGGGTATAGTAATCTAAATTTAGCCTAAAATGGGCTTTTTATGATTTTCAAAACTTTAATTATTTTTTCCACTTTAATTATTTCGGTTGGGAAATTACTAATATTTTGATACCTTATATTTCTGATATTATTTTTTGTTTTGAACTTGTTGTTTTAACTAACGATTTTACAATAATTATTATTAATTGTCAGTTTAGGGACATAAATCCGACTTTCCAAACTCTAATTCTGGCCATCAGAGATTTATTCAAGAAATTTATTAACTTTAGAGTATTTAATAATTGTGCTAGGATCGTGTCCGGACAGCAAATCCTTCGTCTTTTCTTATGTTAGCAACCGTTCATCTAGCTTTAGTGTCCATAATTGTAAAAAGGAAGAATTGTTTTGTGTGGTTTACCACTTTGTCAGGTGTCAGGACTCAGGCATGAGCTGTTTTAGAAGGTCTCCAAGAACAGGTTGAAGGACTTCATTATAAATTATTGATTAATTTCTCTTGGCAAAAGATTCCATAGCTTTGTGGCTTTTATCCCAATTAATGAGTTATCATGATGATTTACAACGGACCTCCGGACTTTGGTACATTTTTTTAACTTGTTAACTTATCAGGGCGATACGCCAGTATTGACACCATACAATCGACGCTTCTCAGTTCTTCGCTCATCCCTTTTTAATATTTTCCATTCAATATTCGCCCCTCGACTCTCTCACTCTCAGACGTAATTATCAGCCAAAACGATATAAAGTGCCGATGAAATCGTTGGATTCCATTGATTTTTTTCCTGAGCACGATAAAATATCAAACTTTATTTGTGCTAATTTTCAAGTCAACTAATCAGTGGACACTCATCGCACTAAGAACTCCTCGAAACGACGTCTCCCGTTATTTGTTTGTCAGGCTAGTCTTTTGATTGCTGGTTGTTTAGGGTTGTTTACTAATACTAGTTTCTCAAAATGGAGAGTTATCTGATTGTTGATCTAGTTGAGAAAATTTTCAAGCCGTCACCTTCACATTCCCTACTGTAGAGCAAACCAACAAACATAAAAGATTTACTGGGCTATGCCATTTTCAGTCCTCAGTCTTGCACTGCGTTTTAGTGGTAATTTCAATACGGAGTGGACGATTTAATTCGCTAAGTGGCTGAAATGGGAGCCGCCAGTGAAAGGCTCTTTACACTAGTTTGCCGGTTCCATGAAAGCATGAAGATCATATATCGGGCGAAATCTTTTTACGATCTTAGTCATAATAACAGTCTTTACATTTCAGCTGTTGTACCGGCTGGGAGGGTAACGTATGTTCAACAGGTGAGCAACTACAGTTCCAGAGTCTATAATTAAACTAAAAGTAAAATATTCGACCATTACAACAATTAAACTATTTTAAATTTCTAGTTAAGATATAAAACAGTAATTGCGTATGATTATAACTGTTTTTTCTCCAATATTAATACTTAATATTCAACACGTTCTCCCCCAGATAAAGATGAATGTAACGAGGTAGATGCACCTTGTCCAGGATACTGTATTAACCTACCTGGCTCTTTTAGGTGCGTACTTTTTTAAATTTTACAATTCACCCATCATTATCTACCCTTATAATACATGTATCACCCATAATTTTCTACCATTACAAATTATTTGGTTGAACTAAAAAATTTAACACCCACTTTATTTTTTTTAAACCTCGATCACCCGCTTATACGTTTATAAATATAATTGCCGCATTTACAACTGCATCATTCCTATTTTGGCCTAATTCATTCTCGTACATAGTCACATTAATTATCAATTTTCCACACGTAACCTGCGTTTTGTCAAGCCAGATGCAAACCGGTTTGCTTTATTAGGAAGGAACATCGTCGAACACTGAAATAAGCTTAAAGTAGAGAAAACTTGGCTGATAAGAGAATATGTGCTTGTGTGTCCTAGGTTCTTAACAATTTGTATGCGTGATGTTAGTTTTTCGGCATTATTGAATAGCCTTATCGGTCACAACCTTTACTTTTATCATACGAGGGGACCTTTTGCGCTAGTATCCTAAAATGATAAAGTAGGCAAAATACCCCAGCAATCACTATTAGATTGCTAGTTCATAGGAATCTTCATGGCTGTTTCACACGAGAGACGTGACTCAGAACCGTATGCCGATACCACTTCATGGATACGGTTCATAGGAACCACAGTTCACATTGTAATCTAATTTCTATCTGCAGGTGTGGTTGTCCAGATACGACCCAAATATCAGCTGATGGACGGCAATGTGTGAACCTCTGCGTTCTGGTGAGATCAGACTCTCATTCAATATTTAACCTTTCCAGTGACTTTTGAACTAATTCACCAAGTACGCGTATGGAAAGTTTTGTCCCTGGGAGGTTCAAGATAAGAGAGTAGGGATAGTTAACCCTGGGTACCATATCAGGCTCAGTGCGAACAACGTTGTGAGATTGTCAATGTTACTGCAGAATGCCACTGTTTCAGTGGTTACTCCTTGGATCAAAACGGGATCAACTGCACTGGTAAGATGATGTGTGAATATGAATGTTTTTGAATCCTCTTTTACCATCACACGTTATAAAGTATTTGTTGATACAGCTGTTACAGGATCAAAGTTTTTAAAGCTACAATACCTCCAACCAGTAATTTCCCCGGAACATAAGACCCTGCCCCCTCCAGACAGAATTACTAATAACAATCGCGGGTACACACTACACAAGTAGCTAAAGTATTTAACCTTTTGCTGTATCAGATCTCTATATCCCATCCAATAAAGCAAGAATAATGAATCTTCAACTCTAACTCCAGTCAACACAGCATTTGCCTTCACCGATATTTTGCTGCACCAGATATTTTGCTGCACCAGATATTTTGCTGCACCAGATATTTTGCTGCACCAGATGCCAAACAAAGTCGCGTGCCAACACATATGTAAAATATTACAGCGATGGAATAATCAATATTTTGGGCCTAAACATGTCAGTGGTGACGAGATAAGGCACCCCATGAGAGATAGTAGACATTTGAAGCCCACATTCCTAGCTGATATGAAAAATGAAATTGAACTTTGCCCTGTATATCTGAGTATCTGTGGTCTTAAACATCCGGGAAACACCATCTCTTCCTGGACCCTTCGAGAAGTACTGACTCCAAAACTTAACCTCGGAACTCGTGATCGAACTACCTTATTATGTATGCCAAGAAGCTGTGAGGGGTGCTTGACATACGATACATTTGGAATATTCTCCCTTATCACGGTCCTGGCCACCTGCTCTGATTATAAAAAGGGAGACCGCCACAGGTAGACACGTGAATACGTGGGGCTCGTTAAGCTACCAGTAGTACTTCAGGGCAGGGGCTCTTATTATTGTGACGTCGTGTTTATCTTACTGACGCCATAAAGTATAATCAGACTATTGCCCTTTGTAATTGTGACGTTATGAGTATGGGCTTTTATGGAAACTAATAAAAATATATTTTTCGGTTCTATTCTCTACTAGGGACCAATATTATCATGACGTCACTATTATCTTTCTGACGCCATAACGGGAATACCTGTGCTGTGCCGTGGCCGCTCCGTGAAATGAAATCAGACTATTGTTTCTTATAATTATGACGTTATAAATATGCTATTGTAATAATTATACAAACAAATGAACATAAAGTCTAGTACCGACTAGAACCGACGACTTCTTCAGACATTGACGAGTGTGTGACTAACGTTGCAATCTGCGCGGACCACTCCCACTCACACTGCGAGAACACGATAGGGAATTATACCTGTAAATGTGACACTGGGTACACGGAAAACGGTACTGTCTCTGATTGGACATGTCACGGTGAGTTCTCAAAAAGAAGTAACAGAGGATGAAATATTTTCTTAACTTCTCACCAAGTTTTTTAATAAATTAACCAGATTAACACTGCAATAGCATGGATTGTAATAAAGCATTTAAAACAATAAACACGGAACTACCATTCTCTTAGTACCCATACCTCCCGCTCAGATATTGACGAATGTACAAATGGAGTAGCTCTCTGTACGGACACGTGCACAAACACACCTGGAGGGTACACGTGCTCCTGCCCTCAGGGCTTCTATCTCCGTAACAACCACACTTGTCAAGATATAGACGAGTGTGCGAGCAACACTACTTGTCCTCTTACTGCTATTTGTACGAATACTCCCGGAAGGTTAGATCACACATTTGTTCGGAATTATCTTTTATCAAAAACAGAAGATGGATTGATAAACTGATAAAAGTTCCTTTTTTTTTTTCAAGAAGTTGGTTCACGCGTTCATAATTAGGGTGGACTCAGGACTGGATCTGAAGTGTTACAATGATGTCATGGGGAGCCCTAAAATATTTTGGTACTTGGTATTTGGTAACTTGGTACTCTCTTCGAAATGAAATTCGTAAGAAAGTTAAAAAATGTTGGTACTTGGTACTTTCCTCTAAATGAAATTCGTAAGAAAGCTAACTGTATTTACTTCAGCTTCAACTGCTCCTGCCCGAGTGGTTTCGTGTACAACGTAGTGAACAACACGTGTGATAATATAGACGAATGCGTGACCCCCGGAGTTTGTGTCAATGGCGATTGTCAGGATACACAAGGGAGTTTCCAGTGCAACTGTCATTCTGGATTCGGGTTTTTCAACAAAACGTGAGCAATAATTATCGTGTTCATTGTTCACCTCGTTAAGATAAGAAAAGACTGATCGTTATCGACAAATCATTTACAACTACAGCGACAAACATATTAATCTTTAAGTACGGAAATGACATAGCCACGTGTTAAAAACATTTGTATTTAGTATTTACGAAAGTGGATCATTGCTTCAAAACTAAGAAATCAAACAGCACCTTATCCGTAGTTTCTGCAAAGACATAAACGAGTGCAACATAAAGCCAGCCCTATGCCCCATGGGCTGTGTTAACACAATCGGAGGGTACCATTGCACGTGTTCGTTTGGCTGGCTGGCTAACATGACAACACACACGTGCGAGAAACAACCCTGGAACACTTGTCAGCAGATATGTCAGTACGACCCCAACGTAAGTATTAGTAATATAAAACCCTAAAAAGTCCTCCTCCTCTCTGAATCGCATGCCATTCCACCGTGCGGCCATTTCGATTAAAATTTGCTGATAAAAAATTTGTAAATAACAAAAAGATTTTTTTAAAAGAAAAAAAATGTAAAAACATTTACTGTTCTTTTGTTAAACTTCATTTATTTACTGTCAACTTTCGGCAGGACCATAATAAATGCATCTGTAAGTGCAGCAGAGGGTTCGAGGCTGACCCTTTGAACAGTAGACAATGTATTGATATTGACGAATGTGTGACACAGCCGAACATTTGTCCAAACGGGAGGAAATGCATCAACACAGTGGGAGGCTATCACTGTGACTGTCTACCTGGTTATATAAACGATTGGACTAACTCTGGAGCTTGCATAGGTGTGAGAACTTACATTTTTCACTAAGAATCCCGTTTAGGTTGTCAAAAGAGCTGTTCAACCAATTTTTATTTACCGATAGAAAAACTTTAATGTCATGTGGCAAGTCTTGATTGAAGTAGTGACTGCTTTTATCAATAAAAGCGCAATATTTCCTCAGATAAAAATGAATGTGAAGAGCCGCACATTCTTGACCAGTGTCTCAAAAGGAAGAACAGAACTTGTATCAACACCATAGGATCCTACAACTGCTCTTGCAAGTAAGCCTATCGTCTTGTTCGAACCAAAATTGTTCATTTAAGATGGCCACCTAGTGTGTTGGAAACGCGCAGATGCAGGTTTAAAGACATTTAAGTTTAACATCACAATCATAATCTGCGTGCCCTTTGGGGAAAAATATTTAACTTATTTCAATAATATATTACTTTTGAGTAAATATTGGCTGGTACTACGGACTAGTCCCCCAATTAATCAACAAAATTAGTACATGGACAATCACCACGGTAGGAATTTGCCTTTCACTAATTCATAGGAAAGATATCAAATGTTTTGTTCTCAGAGAAGGATTCGAGGAGGTGAGCGGGGTTTGCGCTCAGATAGACGAGTGTGAGACTGGTAGGGACGAATGTGAGTACTACTGCGAGGATAGTGATGGCAGCTACAAGTGCAGCTGTCCTCCTAATCAGAAGTTGGACAGTAATCTTCACAACTGCTCTATGATCGTAAGTTTATAGCGTGCTGGCACTGCTTTTTCAGCATCTGTTTTCTCAACAGCTTGTGAAGTTTCTTTTTCTGTATGACTAACTTCTTCTAAACTGCTCCATTCGACCATTCTCGATTCAATTTATAGTTTTAGTTTTGTAATTGAAATGTACCCTGCAGGAATGCGGAGCTCCAAAATTAAATAACTGTAATAGTTTATCAGCTAATTGTACGCAAGTTCATCTCAACTGTACAGACGATGATTTCTACTTAAACAGGTTAGTAACAAGTTATACAAACACTTTTATCAGGAGTCATATAATATTGAGTTCAATACTTTCATCTTGATCAACTGAAAATTTGTGATCTTTAAACACCACGAAAAAAACTAAGGGTGTGATTTCAGTGCCTGTCAGCTGACTTGTGATGAAGCTGGAGGATATTATTTAGATGGGCCTGGTCTGATAACCTGCACACATGCTGGTCAGTGGGACGATGAGACCAGCCGATGCTTCTGTTCCGATGAGGAGATTGTCACTCTGTCCAGAGATTGGGTTAGTCGTGTCTCTCAAGTCTCAGTTAAGCTTATACTCACGATGACTGTCATCGATATCACTGTTGGATTTAGTGAACGTTGTTAAATCAGGTTCCAAAATATCATGGTTTAAATACATGGTTGATACTGCACAGAGATAATGTGGTAAATTTTACTAATTTGATATCTCCTAGGTGAACGAGACAACAGGGACACCGGACAATATTGATATCATCATAGAAGTCCCAAAATGCAAGCCCTTCCACAACCACACCATCAAATATATAGACGGGTTGCCTCCCGCGATAAGGATCCTTCAAATGTCAGCTGACAGCAAGAAATTACTTATCAACAAAGACCTAAATGTACGAATTTATCGTTCAGTTGATTATCCTTTCGGGATTCCTTTCTTTTCTTAGCATGTTAAGAACGGGATAAAATTTCAAAGTGATGAAGTCAGAGATCGACTTAAATTTTATTCGAAAATCAACTCTATAAACCCCAGAATAACCCGGTTCATTTTCAGCAAATGGTAATCCCAAATCTCTCGACCTCTAATCCAGAGGACAAATTTTCATTTGAACTTGAGGTGACACACAGCTACGTGAACAGGACTGCTGTTCAGAAAGAGCAAGTGGTTTTGACTTTTGTCAATGTGCCTCAGGCTCCTTCTATACCGGAAGTAAAAACACCCTTCACCCTCTCGGTCAGTAAAGCCATAGCTATGAATATTTTCATTCATAGCCCCTTCACAAGCATGGGAAACTTGTTATCAATGCTTTTTATTATCGGATTACAATAAAAATTACGCCGACAATGCTGATGAATGACATATTAACTACCGATTTTCGAAATAAAATTGTATGTATCACGCAAAATCATGCGGTTAGGTCACGTAACCTTTTATTTACAGTCCATGGATAATGAGACCGACATCTCTCAAAGAATCTACGATTACAACGGTGACAAAGTCTCGTGTACCTTGGATGATTCTCTGATTGAAGTGGACTTGATCCCCACTCGTGGATACAAAAACTCTCACTCTATGGTAGGTTGATTGCACATTAATTAATACAGTGCAAGTACACAAACAAATGTTTTAATGTGCTTTTCAGTTTTACGATCACTGATCAGTTATTTTTGACGTATCCCTATTTCCAACAGTGGTTGAGAGTGAAGAACGGTACCTTTAAAGATGTTAAGGAGAGGAATAACGGGTCCTCCTCCTACAACTTTACAAAAGAGCTCTTCTGTGAGGATGACTCACCGGAGAATATGAGAAGCAGTAAAATGATTTCCATATTTTTTACCATCAACGACCCCCTTGTCGACATCAGCTCGTAAGCAACTCATTGATATTTATCTAATTCATTATAATATGAAGATTTTATTTCAAGAGCACCGTGATGCTACACTTAAGTTATTACATTATAATGTAATTCGGAAATCCGTCTTACTTTTTAATTTTATATGTACTTGCACCTTTTTTTTCACCTAGTGCCACGAGACATTTCTGGGAAATGTCTCCTAAAATCCCGGAAACACTTTTTAGCATTTTGTCCTATAAACTTGGACTTGATCCCAATTCCGCACTTTTCATATGAAGGAATTAATTTCTTACCAAAACGAAAACTCAATTACCTAAGTAACAAAGTCTAGTTTTTTGGAGATAATAAAATGTTGGTACAATTCAGGCAAACATGCTCATGTAAAATGTAGATTGTAGCAGTCACTAAAATCACTTAGCACATGGCATGATTCATTATTTGGAAATGATTAACAACAAAAGCTCAGAAAGCAAGTTTTTTAAATGTATCAAATCTTAGGATCCAAGTGCAACCAAGTAAAGCCAAGCTGGATCAGATACCAGCAGTATTCGAAGTAAAGGCATGGGGAAAATACATGGACAACTCAAATGGAAAATCAAAACGGAAGAAGTACGGAGTTGAAGGTGACGACACATCAGAAGATCCGGAGGTGGACGATATGGTGGAATCTACTACATTTGAGGTAGGTTAGTGGTTACTCAGAACAACAACTTAATGAACACGCCATCAATATTACTGAATATAGCTAATTAAGGACAAGGCTGATGGTGAAACTAATATATGTTTAATTGACACTTGCTATCTCTTATACTCATTTACATGTGATCACTTAGAGATGGATCCGATTCATCATGTGTAAATCCATGTGGGTTGCACCATCTCCGTCAGAGCGGCTTGCTTATCTGTAAGGGTTCATTTGGACACAAGCAACAACAAAAATGTAACACACGCGGGGTGACAACAGTATTGATAATAACTATCCCCATAGATTGAGCTTGAAAAGAATTACGAATACAGCGCATACTTTGAAGTAAAAGAAAGAACTCTGAAGTACATCCAAAAGTTGGAAAAACCAGGGACATACAAGTTACCCCTGCGTTTGACTGATACTCAGGACCAAAGTGGAGAAGGGAAGAAGTTTTCTGTAAACATAGAGATTGAAGAAGTGAAGACTCAGCCTGGTTAGTAACATTAGCTGTACTACGAGGGGATTTTAGGGAATTAAGGCCGACAAATTGGCTAACAGCGATTAATCTGCGAGCAGTGGTCACGTTTCCAAACCAATCACTTGCTACTCCTTAAAATCACGTGCTACTCCTTAAAATCACGTGCTACTCCTTAAATTAAAGTGTCAATTTGATTAACTTCCAATCTGAACAAGTTCAATTTCATGATAACTCCAACGAAATTACAAATTGAGTTAATAGTTCAAATCGGGTGTGTTAAGATTTTCGAATATGGTGACATAATTCTAAAATTACTTCGGAAAAAATAACAAAAATTAATTCATGTTTTCTCCAGGACAGTTATTAAATAATTTCCTCGTTTATACTAAGTTCATGATATTCATGTAAACACTTTTCTTTGCAGATGTAGGACAGATTGTGACGATTGTAAACACTTTTCTTTGCAGATGTAGGACAGATTGTGACGATTGTAAACACTTTTCTTTGCAGATGTAGGACAGATTGTGACGATTGTAAACACTTTTCTTTGCAGATGTAGGACAGATTGTGACGATTGTAAACACTTTTCTTTGCAGATGTAGGACAGATTGTGACGATTGTAAACACTTTTCTTTGCAGATGTAGGACAGATTGTGACGATTGTGGTAGTAGCTGTGGTCGTCATCGTGTTCGGTATGCTTCTCCTCATTTACAACTTCTGCAGACGACCTGCCTTCGATAAAAAGGAATCTTTTAGACTCAACCCGGTCTACGGTCAGGTAATTGTATTACCTTGATTTATAACATGTTGATGAAAACAACTCTGGAGTAGGGCATTATTTTGAAAATGTCCTTGGAAAGGCATGATATTTTATATTTTATCTCTCCAGGAGTTACAAGACTACTACGTTGATATGGAAAATCTGGAGATAGATTTTGATCGGAAACTTGGTAGCGGACATTTTGGAGTGGTAAGTGAATTTTCAAAGCATAGAGTCCGATCGGCAACAGATTTCATGTCAAATTTCCAACTTGTAACTCCCCTTTTATATTTAACATCAGGAAAGTGTATTCTGTAATCTACCCCAGGTTTACTTCGGACGAGCAACATCTCCTAAGATCTGCCAGAGAAATTTAGGTGAAGAGAAGTGGGTGGATGTGGCGGTTAAGGAATTAAAAGATACCGGTAATATGACGCAGATGGATGCTTTCCTAAAGGTTTGTTGATCGCTGATAACTATATACTACTGTTTAGATTACATAGACACCATGAAATCATGTTGAGCAATTTACAACTTTCTAATCTGGACCGTCATTTTTCTTTCATCCCTCCAGGAGGTACAAGCCCTGACCATGTTCAAACACCGTAATATTGTGTCCTTGCTCGGCATAGGAATATGTGATGGTCAACACAAGTACATCTTGATGGAGCACATGAATGAGGTAAGAGCTCCGGAATTTATCTGCGGAGTGAGGGTTTCGAGGTCAAAGTTGATGTTTTAAATGTATCTGCATTCTGCTTGTGTGTCTCTAGATAAAGGCTAATTCGAAGAAGACTAGTAGTAATTCATGACTTCTTTTTCAACCAGGGTTCTTTGAAAGATTTCCTGAAATCATTGAAAAAGAAAGAAAACAACATAATAGACCTGGAAGAGCAACACTTTATATACATGGCTGCTCAGGTAAGGAAAATTCCTAAAATATTTATAAGAATCACCAATGGCCCGTTTGGCTAACGCATCACATACGGTCTAGCTAGGGTTCAAGTACCCTTTAAGATTATTCAGCTGACGTATCACAACTCTACTCATGCCAAATTATGTTAGAATAATGATTTCATAACTTAAAATAAATGTTGGCATACATTTTGTTAATTTCATCATAACTTACAGGTAGCTGATGCTATGTGTCACATGGAGAAGATAAACGCAGTTCACAGAGATTTGGCTGCAAGAAACTGTCTCGTGAACAGCAAACTGATGGTCAAGGTGGCAGACCTTGGCTCGGCAACAAATCTCAGTACAGCATCAGGGTCGCTCACTGAGTACTACAAAGTCGGAGGGAAGCCAATACCCATGAGGTGGTCCAGTCCAGAGGTAGTCCTGATTAGTAGAATATAATTATCTAGGCTACCATAGTCCATCAGCAATAGCTTTTAACCATCTGAACTAATACCACCAAAGGAAAATAATTTATAACTATCACATAATTATGAAACAACTTGATGATTATCCTGATATTTTCAGTACTTTGTATAAAAATTAGAATAACCGTGAACATTTTCCAAAGGTATTGAGTACCGGCAAACACGGGATACCTTCAGACGTATGGTCGTTCGGAATTCTGTTTTGGGAAATTCTAACACACTGCGAGAGACCTTACAGCCATTACCAGGCTGAAACCGAGGTAAGTTGTGACTGACAGCTCCGGCTTGTCAAATTTTGATTGACCGTCTCGTGCTCATCAGAATCCGTGACAAATGAATTTAAAACCCCAGTCTTGTATCATAACCATCGATATTTCTTATATTCAATCAGGTTTTTCTCATATTTTTGAAAAATGACACTGATAAGACATTGATAATGATTCTTGATATCTGATTACCGGCCTGGAACAGTGCCAGAATATTTACTCGCTCACGAGTTGGTTTTGCTCCAGGTTTTAGATGCCATCAAAGGGGGAGAAGTCCTGTCAGTGCCTAATTCGTGTGATCCCAAGATAAGCGAGTTGATTTACTCCTGCTGGAGATACGAGTCGGAGTTCAGACCTAAGTTTTCAGATGTAAGTTAACTAAGGTGTCATGTTGATCACATCATGATAGATCTTGAATAACTAAAAGCCTTCCAAGTTTTATAGCGTTTTTATAATATATATATTTTTCGCTTAATGTGGACTGTAGACTGTAGAGCTAAACATAAAAAGTACAGATTTCTAAGTAATTTAATTATAAACCTTTATAACATGAAAAGTACAGATTTCTAAGTAATTTAATTATAAACCTTTATAACATGAAAAGGACAGATTTCTCAGTAATTTAATTATAAACCTTTATAACATGAAAAGTACAGCTTTCTAAGTAATTTAATTATAAACCTTTATAACATGAAAAGGACAGCTTTCTAAGTAATTTAATAAGCCTTTTTAATTTTATCTTGAAGTTTGAACATTGAGCCAAGTACAATCGGATCTCATGACAATGTAATTGTTTCAAATTTCAGATATTTGAGAAACTGACAGCCATTCTTACGAAAGTATACGAAGTTGCTTATTGTGAGCAAAAGGACCAACTTGAGGTGGACATTGGAATCTTATAGTATCTGATTCATGTTGCACTAGTTATCAAGAGATCAATCTAAGACTTCAGATTCGCCAAGAAGAGAACTGGGTTCTTTTTCAATTGTCATTCATTAAATGGCGTAGACCGAAGCGCTAGCTACCCGACCAATCCTTCTTAGCTTCAGCAAGTAGCTGATATCAAATAAAACGAAATAGGAGGAACATCAAAATAAATCAAATTAAAGAGAGGAACATCAAAGCAAAGAACTTTTAGCCTTGGACTATACGATCACCTGGTCCTTCAATGTCACTGAACGACTTAATCAACAACTCTATATAATATGTGAAATTCTATCGTTATTAATATTAATGGTTCAACATTTTCTGTGTCTTTAACAATCATACGCGATACTTTGATAATCAAGGAGCAAAATAAAACGCTCTGAGGAACTAATTTGATTTGACGAAACAACCGATTAAATTTAAATTTTGCACAAGGCGCAGTTGATATTTGTGATTACTCAACCGAACGAGGATGTAATAAGATTTGACTGAATCAGGAAATATTGGAGAGATATTATCGGTAGTGGATATTACCTAATATAATAAATGTAAACTTTGAGCTTTTTAAGCAATTACTATTTTTTTGAAATTTTAAACCATACAACTACAAGACTTTTAGGTGTAAATGGATTTTACAGAACTAATTTTTATATCACCAATTTCTACGATTAGAATTGGTATATAGTGCTTTTCCTTAAGGTTTATGTTTTACTTTTATCGATAAATATGAGGCCAAAAATATTTGAAAAAAGTATGACTTTTTGCCATAGTTTTATTTGAGCATTACTTCATTTGCTGCGTAAATTGTAAATGAAAACACAAGATTCTGAGTAAAAAGAGTTAATTAAGTCTTTTTTAATTGGTTAATTTCACGGGTGAATCCGTCAAGGCGTCAATATCGCTTATAAACATTAGACATTAAAACAGCCATCTTTTGTGACGGATCAACTTTGACTGAAACGTTAATTTCGGTGACTATACGTATAAATCACTATTATCTATTCTACAACTATTTGACGATTTTGAGAGTCATGGAAATTGAAGTTTGTGTTTGCAAAGAAGATAATTTGTTAAAATAATACTCATAGAATACTCAATTTTTGTCATGAAAAAAAAATCTTATTCGCTTGTATTATATTTGTAATGAAACATATATTTTTCCGGATTCTTCTTTTTTGGATGGTGTAGTACTATATTTATTATATCGAATAGACCATGAAGTTTAATTTAAAGATTGAGACAAAAAAGTAAAGCTCAGTTTTTTCAATAATGAAGCCTTGTCGCAGTTCCGTCCACGACTTTTGAAATTTCTTAACTTTAAGTCAACGGTGTATTTAGCCATTGAACCCCCAATGTGGACATGAAACTCCCAATATCCAGTTTAAGAAATTGTTAGTCATTTTTTAATGTTACTTGTGAAGGTGGTCCATAGACAGATACCTAGATGTAGGACTTTAGTCTTTACTGGCTGATCGTTTCCTTATCACTTATACATCATTTTTTGCATGTAATTTACATGAAGTTGTGTTTGGATAATATTTATTTCTGCTACTTTACGGCCATGATTATTTTATATGTACTATAATATATTATACTATGTATAACTTTATACCCACTAGAGAGGGACAGCGCATAATATGGTGGTGTTACTCTTAACTCACGCGAATAGCATCGCATACTGTAACTACTGCCGCAAATACAGTCTAACCTAGCGCACGTGTAAATCTATACTAAAGATCCAAGTTATATCCTAAAACACCTTAGAGATCAGATGGATAGCTGCACACATTGGATTGTGGGGTAATGAAAAAGCAGACGAGCTGGCCAAAAATGGTACAACCAGTGAATCCACTTTGAATTGCCCAATTCCACAATCTTACATCAAACGCCTGATCAACGACAAAGTCACAAAACTTAATCAAGAATCATGGATTACTGATGGTCCCAGACACACTAAACTGACACTTGGACATAAAAACATCAACATCATCAAAAATCTCAACACTACACTCAGTAACAACAGACAAAATTATAGAACTGCAGTGCACCTCATCACGGGACATTGTGGCCTCAACAAACACCTACACACCATTCGCAAATCAGACACAAGTGCTTGTCCTAAATGCGGCGACGAAGAGGAGACTGTCTCACACTTTCTCGGACAGTGCCCGGCTATTGCCCAAATAAGAGGTCAATATTTCCGGGACTACTACCTCTCTGTCAATGACATATTCGACGACCAACACATCTCCACCATTGTCAACTTTACAAACCACACTAAACGCTTAGTGGTGCCAGAGGAGTTGGACCAGACAGGTGTAACATAGCGACTACTTTAACGCCGTCTTATTTCGCCTCTCTCTTCCACACTCAACCACCACTTAAGCGTTTATCTATGACACACCCCACAACACTTACCATCATCCTTGATTACACATCTTGATTCCACTGGCATCCTCCCACAGGACTGCCATACCCCAGAGGTAGGCAAAGCATTCATATGCTATCCTCTCGTGGGCCAACCAGGCCCAGCCTCTCTAAAAAAAAAAAAAAAAAAATCCTAAAGCTCTAAAGATAGCTAGTGAGGTATCCTACTTATAAATTGCTAAGAGAAGTGAAAATCAGTCATTAAAGATTTACAGAAAAATAAATACTAAACCAAGATAACTAAAAGAAGAAGATTCCTACAAATACATTATTCTACTAATGCTATAAAGACACAATGGTCCCCCCAAACTAAGATACCCGACAAACCCATAACCCAAATTCTAGCAACCTCTGCCCGGGCCGATCTGAACCTCTCCCCAATAAATCAGTAAACGCCGATGTTTAATCGAACGCAACTCTCAATAATAAATTTTGCCCCATTGGCATTCCCTGCACCGCTAAAGTTCAAAATCGTGTCCATGCACTAACTAAATCTCGGTTATAACCACAATAACACCATACCCTTTAATTTTAAATATACATATTATCAGATACCACGAGTTTATTTTAGCTTTCTAGGTAAAACATGAATCAAAAAATGAATCAATCACACTCATATTTATTTGAACGTTGGTTGCTTTCATCATTAAAACTAGCTACTAAACTAAAAACTTCCACGTGCATAAGCTGCATAGTGCATACGTGGTTTATTGCAATTTAATGCCACCTTCTTAAGCACGTACCATGCACCCACGTACCACACGTGATAACCCCAGTGTAATCAAATTGCTTAATCTATTGAAGTACCGGTCATACATCAGTATTCCGACGGCAGTACGGCGGCAGTACGGCGGCAGTCCCGCGGCAGTACGGCGGCAGTACGGCGGCAGTCCCGCGGCAGTACGGCGGCAGTCCTGCGGCAGTACGGCGGCAGTCCTGCGGCAGTATGGCGGCAGTACGGCGGCAGTACGGCGGCAGTCCCGCGGCAGTACGGCGGCAGTATAGTGACAACACTTATATCAGAATTTTGATCCAATTATTCCATGATTTTGATGATTCGTTCACATTGATTTATGAATTAAAAATATATTTCGAGAAATCAATAAGTTGTAAATAAGTTCATACAATATCATTATAATTTTAAATCAGTAACTGTCACCCTGGAGCAATAAAATATTAAAATAATTCAGATTCATTGCAGGTACTTCTGGTATCTTTTGTATTTCTCTGATCTGATTATCGTCAACATCTGAACACCTAAATCTTGAAGAATGGATTCCTCTCTCAGCTCTACTACATCATCCCCCAGTATCCCTAGTCCGTCTACTTTTCAGAAATCAAACTCAGAGATTGTAAAGATTGCAGGACGGAGGACTACACTCGACTACCTTGTGGAGAACTACAGCTGAACATATCCCTCTGCAGTTTACATCGAACGACACTACTGGCTAGTAGATCTCGTCCCCTCTCTCCTAGTCCTACCAACGATCCTACTATCCTTCCTGGTGCCACTCAAGCTGTTATACCTTCTAGACGAGGAGGAGCTACTCCACCAGATACTGATAATGCTCGCCTAGTAAGACCTGTGGTTACACCTACCCGACCCTCTTCCAGTTCCTCACCACCACCTAGTAGACGCCGTCTGAACACTGATGAAACCTACTCCCGCTCCTCTGTAGCTGGCGAAGCCTTATCCTCCTACAACAGAGTGCACAGAGACTTTGCCAACCGTCCTGATACCTCCATCAGCCTCTCAAAGTTCCTGAAACAGAAACGAATCCCTGAAAGATCCTTCTACCGCAAGAAGAAGATAGCAGAGCTGATTATCCTTGATAGACCACGATTCGGCAGTCTCATCAAACAGATTCTCATGGAGGAGCGGACTGACAGGATCAACCAGCAGATTCTCTCTGACCGATGTGGGGCTATCCTCAAGCAGAGTGACTTTCTGGAGAAGAAACAACTCGCAATTGCTGCTGGAAAGATTCTCTAAATGTAAATTATTTTATTGCTCCAGGGTGACAGTTACTGATTTAAAGTTATAGTGATATTGTATGAACTTATTTATACAACTAATATTGATTTATTCAAATATATTAATTGACAAATCATCAAAATCGTCTCTTTAATTGACAAATCAATGTGAACTAATCGAATCAAACTCATGAAATAATTGGATCAAAAGTCTGATATAAGTGTTGTCACTATACTGCCGTGGCACTGCCGCCGTACTGCCGCGGGACTGCCGCCGTACTGCCGCCGTACTGCCGCCGTACTGCCGCCGTACTGCCGCGGGACTGCCGCCGTACTGCCGCCGTACTGCCGCGGGACTGCCGCCGTACTGCCGCCGTACTGCCGCCGTACTGCCGTCGGAATACTGATGTATGACCGAAGTACCACAAAGTACTAGTAATTGTTTAAGAGAGTTCTCTGGCAGTTACGAAACTCGAGAGACTGTGGGATACTGAAGGGAAAAGAAGCAGTTCTAACGAGCTCTTCTCAAACACAAGGATATAACTTGTGAACTCGGCTAGTATATATGAAACATTTGTCATGGAGTTGTAGAGGGAGTTATGTGCCTCGCCGGGCTAAAGTAGTGGATGACCTTGCTGTACGGCAAGTTAAACAAGGATCTGAAACTACTAGGTTCCGTACAGACTCAACTCTGCACCCGTGTCAATATGTTCATTATATGCAAGCCTCTTGATTTATAATCACCGAGTCTAGTAATTGTTTAAGAGAGTTCTCTGGCAGTTACGAAACTCGAGAGACTGTGGGATACTGAAGGGAAAAGAAGCAGTTCTAACGAGCTCTTCTCAAACACAAGGATATAACTTGTGAACTCGGCTAGTATATATGAAACATTTGTCATGGAGTTGTAGAGGGAGTTATGTGCCTCGCCGGGCTAAAGTAGTGGATGACCTTGCTGTACGGCAAGTTAAACAAGGATCTGAAACTACTAGGTTCCGTACAGACTCAACTCTGCACCCGTGTCAATATGTTCATTATATGCAAGCCTCTTGATTTATAATCACCGAGTCTAGTAATTGTTTAAGAGAGTTCTCTGGCAGTTACGAAACTCGAGAGACTGTGGGATACTGAAGGGAAAAGAAGCAGTTCTAACGAGCTCTTCTCAAACACAAGGATATAACTTGTGAACTCGGCTAGTATATATGAAACATTTGTCATGGAGTTGTAGAGGGAGTTATGTGCCTCGCCGGGCTAAAGTAGTGGATGACCTTGCTGTACGGCAAGTTAAACAAGGATCTGAAACTACTAGGTTCCGTACAGACTCAACTCTGCACCCGTGTCAATATGTTCATTATATGCAAGCCTCTTGATTTATAATCACCGAGTCTAGTAATTGTTTAAGAGAGTTCTCTGGCAGTTACGAAACTCGAGAGACTGTGGGATACTGAAGGGAAAAGAAGCAGTTCTAACGAGCTCTTCTCAAACACAAGGATATAACTTGTGAACTCGGCTAGTATATATGAAACATTTGTCATGGATTTGTAGAGGGAGTTATGTGCCTCGCCGGGCTAAAGTAGTGGATGACCTTGCTGTACGGCAAGTTAAACAAGGATCTGAAACTACTAGGTTCCGTACAGACTCAACTCTGCACCCGTGTCAATATGTTCATTATATGCAAGCCTCTTGATTTATAATCACCGAGTCTAGTAATTGTTTAAGAGAGTTCTCTGGCAGTTACGAAACTCGAGAGACTGTGGGATACTGAAGGGAAAAGAAGCAGTTCTAACGAGCTCTTCTCAAACACAAGGATATAACTTGTGAACTCGGCTAGTATATATGAAACATTTGTCATGGAGTTGTAGAGGGAGTTATGTGCCTCGCCGGGCTAAAGTAGTGGATGACCTTGCTGTACGGCAAGTTAAACAAGGATCTGAAACTACTAGGTTCCGTACAGACTCAACTCTGCACCCGTGTCAATATGTTCATTATATGCAAGCCTCTTGATTTATAATCACCGAGTCTAGTAATTGTTTAAGAGAGTTCTCTGGCAGTTACGAAACTCGAGAGACTGTGGGATACTGAAGGGAAAAGAAGCAGTTCTAACGAGCTCTTCTCAAACACAAGGATATAACTTGTGAACTCGGCTAGTATATATGAAACATTTGTCATGGAGTTGTAGAGGGAGTTATGTGCCTCGCCGGGCTAAAGTAGTGGATGACCTTGCTGTACGGCAAGTTAAACAAGGATCTGAAACTACTAGGTTCCGTACAGACTCAACTCTGCACCCGTGTCAATATGTTCATTATATGCAAGCCTCTTGATTTATAATCACCGAGTCTAGTAATTGTTTAAGAGAGTTCTCTGGCAGTTACGAAACTCGAGAGACTGTGGGATACTGAAGGGAAAAGAAGCAGTTCTAACGAGCTCTTCTCAAACACAAGGATATAACTTGTGAACTCGGCTAGTATATATGAAACATTTGTCATGGAGTTGTAGAGGGAGTTATGTGCCTCGCCGGGCTAAAGTAGTGGATGACCTTGCTGTACGGCAAGTTAAACAAGGATCTGAAACTACTAGGTTCCGTACAGACTCAACTCTGCACCCGTGTCAATATGTTCATTATATGCAAGCCTCTTGATTTATACACAGCTGGAGCGTCATAAAGCCTAGGACTTACGCAGGTATTTTAGCTGAACCGCCTTCTGATAAAGAACTAAAGCTGAAAATTCCAGACTTTAAAGTTTTTTTAGTTTAGCCCCTGAGAAAGACTGCTCAAGATTTCGGGACATTAATCAAAATATTTAACCCCTGGGGCCGGGTTTTTAGGTTAATGGTCATAGATCAGACAAAGCTGGTCGGTCGGAGGTCGGTCGGAGGTCCAATATTATTATTAATTAAATATGAAATATCCCAAAAAAGGACAACGGGAAAAGCGAGCGACCGATTTCATTCTCGGTATCATTTTGCATTTGAGAACGGTTATTTAAATTAATATCATTTCCTTTTGTTTAGGAATGACTGGCAGCGGTCCAGCGAGTCTCTATTAAAAAAACTAAAATTTGAATAAAATTACGATGTTAAGAATGATAAAATACTAAAAGCTGACTATGAGTACAAATGACAAAGTATAACTTTCTTTTTTGATGAAAAATGACGGACTTCGTAAAAAATTAATCTTTTCAGGTAAAAAAACTCAACATCTTCAGTTATGTCCAATTAATCTAACATCCTATCCTATCCAGCCAGATAGCCTCTTGTGATGATTCATTGTATCACGTGGTGACCCCCACTGTCGCTTCACTATCGTCTTCGACGATACAGGGGGAGCCGCGCACTTCGTGCGCGGCGGGTCATACAACGTATGACAAATGATTCATCAGAAGAGAAAAAACAAAAAATTCCTTAATGTTTTATATTAATTATTATCAAGCAGTGCCATGAGACCAGCAACATTATCCTCTGCCGTCTCCAATATCTGGTCCTCAGGAAGCTCGAAAGCAAACTCCCCCAGGTCCCTCAGCTCTATGGTATAGGAGTCAGTAACGTTGAGATCCTGGTAAGCCCGATCAGCACTTACCCCACTAGCAGTATTGGGTATTTAGTTATATTTTCGATTGTACTATATTTCTATGACAGTTATACATTTTACTTAAATAAAATTATTTGCTTTACTAGTAGTATTCTAAAAGTAGAATTAAAGAAAAGTAACGAAAAAGTCGATATAAGATAAACTTGTCATTATAAAGTGCGTTTTGCACACTATATAATGACAAAGATCAGCTGTCATTATAAAGTGCTTGTCACTATATAGTGTTGTCACTATATAGTGTGATTACCGGGTAGATGCTATAGGAGATGCTTCCCTTAGCGATAAGAGTGCACTTCTTTTTTTTCTTACATCCGATCCATCACTAAATCGTTGATAATCTGGAAGGACAAACCCTAAGATTCAAACACACGCTGACATCGGTCCAACTTTCCAGGTGAGACTTTGCTGCAATGTGCAGCTCCTCATTTAAAATTAACCCTCACACCCGATTTCTCGAGTATTCAGCTGAGTAGACCGGGAGCTGCATAGTCCACTCATGATCCTTAGCTGAACGTCAACGACGCTCACCCCACGACCAGGCAGACAGTGGGATTTGAACACGCAACCTCACGATTGCAAAGCTGGCGTTCTAACCAACTGCGCTACCTGGCCGTACAGGTATCAGTACGTGGGCTTGCCAGAATACTGCACGTGTGTGAACTAAAGTCTAAAACTACGCCGCGCAATGGATCGTGTTCAGCTGATCACTTTTCTTTGACTGTCTCTTTGTTACGCACTGTCTGGCGAGCTCCTGCGTTTGCGTTTGCTCTCTCGTTGCCTGCTCGTCTTTTTGCTGTAATGCCTGCCACCAAAGGAAAGGAGTGGAATGCTGTTATCATTGTTCAGAAAGGAAAGGGAAAGGGAATCAACAGTGAACAGGACAAAGTAAGATGTCTCTACTGCAACTACGAATTTTTTGCAACTGCTTTACTTAGCAAGACATAATAAATATTCAACCTTCTAAAACGTGATATCTAGTTCTTCAGCTATCTATCATTATTTTACAGCGAGGCTTGACCCGAGCTGCTTCAAAGCCGACTTAAGGGCAGTTGGACCTGTCTTAAAAGAAGTTGAATACTCTTCAGATAAAGCATGTATGAATATCTGTATCGCTACAACGAGGTAAGTTTTGATTATTTTAAGTACTTTATGTTATAAATAACATCAAATGTTATAAGTAACATCAAAGTATATAATTTGTTACTCTTTGACTTCTTTTTCATCATTAGTGGCAGTGCCACTTACCGAGCTTTGCCTTTTTGTTGCAGGTTGACAATGGTGACTTTACCATTTTTGAACCATATTGCACACGTGAAACGAGCGTTACCTGTAGAAGACTTACAGTAGTTCCACAGGAGTGCTTATAAAACTGACTTAGACAGTAAAAGTAGTTCCACAGCTAGACTGAGTCTATCAAAAACCTAACAATCAGTATTAATTTCTCCAGCTGTATGGCGGCGGTTATTAGTCCAAAGCTTTTGGATGTGACAAGTTGTTGGTGAGTACACTCTGTCCGATGATAATGCCTATGCTTGTTACACTGCTGAAAGACGATGCTTGGAAACCAAAACCCCTACTAATACAGCTACTACCCCTGATCCTAGTAATGAAATATTTAATAAACTTGCTCTGCTCTAACATTAATTAAGGAAACAATATAAGAATTAAAAATTTCTGCCCAATATAATTTCGCAAAAAATTAACTTTGGAAAATTCCAAAACTCCATGACGCTGTTTATTTCAGCCAGTTAGCGCGAGCCGACAGAAATTATTTAAATGTATCACTCGTGCAATGAATCAACTTTGGCGCGCGGGAACTTAAACTCGCTGTGAAGAAATTACCACTTTAATTAATAAAACTCTCAGTCCGTAGGGTTTCTAGGATATATGGTACAAAATATAACAAGAATTTCGCCGCAGTTACACCACGCACGATTAATTTTTCCTGCTTAAACCGTTAATATTTGCCACAAAAAGTTAATTTTATCGATTAATAAAAATTAGATATTGGATTATTTTGTTGTTAAAAAGTTGCAATATTTTCATCGTAATTTGTTATTGCGCGCGTGCAGGATTGCATGTAATCGAATATTTAGTACGCCGCGCACAAATTTTGGGCTAATTTAATTTGAACGGCATCGTTTGACAATTGAAATTCGCGTTGGATACTGCAATTAACTAACACATGCCGAGCGTCGCGCGCAGCATAACAGACGCTTCCTATACTCATAATTATAGGGGAGTGGTCTATATTGCGAAGGAGCATACTTTTGTCGACATCGCAGGACCGTCGGGCCACCTCATATATCCAAACCCGATTACTTGTTCCCTACGATCTTTTTGCCTTCGGCAAGAGCAGGGAAAAAATTACTTTTGTTACCTACCGTGCGGCGTGCAGACGTATTTTCTTAATTTTGCAAAATTAAAGTTTTCTGGATTTATTACTTTTATAAATTGACTACTTTTAAAATTATATTTATTTTTCAGATCCAGGTTTAACTTTACGCAACACAAATGGACTTGAACGGCAGCTTTCACAACGCGTCCCTAAGTCTCCACCTCCTGCTGCTGTAAAGTCCTAAAGAGAGATCACGGTACTTTAGGTATATACCATATTCGTATTAATAATTTTACCAAAAACCCATTATTGGGTAGAGTTGACCGTTGCCAGTGTCTCCCTTACCCAAACAAAACGAAATGATATCAATTTGAATAACCGTTCTCGAATGAAAAACCATACCGATAATGAAATTGTAAAACATTAAAATTACAACAAACCAACTTAAATGTATTAATGTTTTTAAAGCACCTGGATATGGCAATTTTGGGGTTTTGCCGAATTATATAGCTATTCTTTATTATTGTCATCTTTAACATTGAATTAGAATATGTTGAACTAAAACTACACCATAAACCCGCTGAATGACACCTGATCAGTCTAAGTGAACGAAAAAATAGTCAAGTACGTGTGTAATGGGTATATATGAAACATTTGATATGGAGTTGTAGAGGGAGTTTTTGGCACTATCAGTGAATCCACTTTGAAGTGTCCAATTCCACAATCCTACATCAAACGTCAAATCGACAACAAAGTCAACAGACTGAATCAGGAAACTTGGGTAACTGACGGTCCCAGACACACCAAACTGACACTCGGCCACAAGCATGCCAAAATCATCAAAAACCTCAACACTACACTCAGCAACAACAGACAGGATTACAGAACTGCAGTTCACCTCATCACGGGTCACTGCGGCCTAAATAAACACCTTCACACCATTTGCAAATCAAACACCAGTGCTTGTCCTATGTGCGGGGACGGAGAGGAAACTGTCTCACACTTCCTTGGACAGTGTCCGGCTATTGCCCAAATTAGAGGTCAATATTTCCAAGACTACTACCTCTCTGTCAATGACATATTCGACAACCAACACATCACCACAATTGTCAATTTCGCAAACCGCACCAAACGCTTAATTGTGCCGGAAGAGCTGGATCAGACCGGGGTGACTTAAAGTATTATCTCATATGCTGTCTCGTCTCGTTTTACTTTTCCAAACCCAGCTGGCATTTAAGCGTATCATTTTGACTCATATAACATCTTACACCATCCTCCACCAATCACTCTGATCTCACCGGTAACCTTCCCCAAGGTTGCCACACCCCAGAGGTAGGCAGAGCATCTCAATGCTATCCTCTCGTGGGCTATCTTAGCCCAGCCTCTCTAAAAAAAAAAAAGAAAAAAAAAAAAAAGAGGGAGTTATGTGCCTCGCCGGGCTAAAGTAGTGGATGACCTTGCTGTACGGCAAGTTAAACAAGGATCTGAAACTACTAGGTTCCGTACAGACTCAACTCTGCACCCGTGTCAATATGTTCATTATATGCAAGCCTCTTGATTTATAATAGTAAAAAGGGTATAATGGCTGACGGTCGTGCTTGCCAGCACTGTGATAACAGATTACTCTTACATTACTTGGACCAGTTCCAGACCTTTTCTTGACGGTTACATTTGTCCGGTAGTGTTCTTGCCGATAGATAGCTGGCCTATAACCGGTCTTGCTACTACATGTGGAACACAAATGGCAAAACATTGGAGGGGCACTCCACATGGAGTGCTCTTCGCTGTTCAAGGATTAAGGCCACTTTTTGCCACCTTTCTTGTCTGTCAAATATCTTTAGTTGCGAACATCGTAAAAGGCTGAAAATTCGGCGAATATGTACATTGTACAATGCCGACCGGCACAATGCCGACCGGCATTGTACAGATTTGCCGTACATTATAATAATGTAAGGGAGGAAGGCCATTTTAAGAAAACTTCAGCAGGATAATATCACATAACTAAACCATTGATTGCAAGCCACAAATAGCCACTAGTGTAAATATAGGGTATATGAATATCGCCACACCCAGTAAAAAAGGGCTCAAATTTATGGCTCTTTTGCAAAGGCTTAGAATAAGTATTTTATTACCATGGTAAAACTTTCTCGGGCCTTCAGCCCTCTTAAGTTCTACCCGGTCATATCTATACTTATTCAGTTATTCAACATGGCTTACTGAGTAGTGTGTGGATATGATCGAGAAAATATGTATTTAGCATTATCAATAGCAGTATTAAGTAACTTATTAAGTTTTTTAAAATTACACATACCCTGGTCGTCTCGCTCGCTCGTCTCACGTACCAGGATTCAGGAAGCTTGAAAAGAGCGCCGCGCACAGGGATTGGCGAGCCAGGTAACAACAGGGTTGATGGTTATCAAGGGTTAAAGCATGAAAACTATACATGTTGTTCATTAACACTACGTACTTGCAGTATTCAGACAGCATCTCATACATGATGGAACAACCCACAGAACGTCCCACCAATTGTTGTTCCAGTGCAACTGCAGCCAGCTATAAATGTGCAAGAGGAGCCGTTGTCTTCAAGTTCAGATCCAACTCTGTTTAATGTTGTTGTGGACAGTGAGCAGAATATTCCAAATTATGAAGTAGTGATGAGTTATCCCGCGGTGGTCTGAGGGCTCTTGCTAAATCACTCACCTAAATCATGATGACTATAGTGTATAGTGAAAACGTTTGCGCGTCTCCTACCTTTTAAATTATATATCAATATGCACGTTAGTAATTGTTTGAGATATGTTTAGCGCATACCAGTTCCATATAGAGTAGATATAAGCAATCAGGACTGATATTGTTTTCTAAAAATGTTATAAAACACGGCTCGACTATATCATGCTATTCAATCTATTGTACTTTTTTCTTTTGAGGTTTCTGACTCAGACTGCAGCTCTATATAATAATGGTTAAAAAGGTCCTGCGATTTTCGCGTCATAGCGTATAAACAGTCGCCGTGTTGAAGTTGAACTGTTACGGTTTCGTATAGTACTGTCGGGTTGTCATACTCATACGTTGTATGTCGTATGACCCACCGCGAACGAGTGCGCGGCTCCCCCTGTATCGTCAGGACGTGAAACGACCGTGGGGGTCACGACGTGATACAACTGTCGGGTACTAAATAGGTTGTGAACAAGAAAAATGCGGCCGCTTTTCTTTTGTGGATGGCCACTCAATTTCCCGATTCGATCCGTGATGGCATATTTTATCATATTCCATACATCATATACATAACAACCTGGGGAACCCTTCATGTATCACGTTGTGACCCCCACGGTCGTTTCAAGCTATGGTGACAATACAGGGGGAGCCGTGCGCGGCGGGTCATACAACGTATGAAAAGGGAACCCAGTCTTAACTGTTTATAAGCACATGCAGATATGACGGAGTTGGGAGTGACAGGCCGAGCGCCGCCCAGTTAATATAATTTCATGTTGCATTTGAAAATCGTGTATATTTCTATGTACTTATGTATTTGTAACTATATGTTTATTGTTTATGTAACCTGACAGTGACACGGATCAGGGATCTGTGCAAAATTAAAATAGTAATTATAACTCAAAATAATAATAATTTGTCATTTGTAGCGCGATGCGTTACTATGCCGCGCCGCGCATTCAATTATGCTTATCGCAACGATCGGCGCGGCGAAATGAGCTACTGGGCCTCGCCGAGCTGCGGAGAATTGACATCGTCAATTAATATGCCATCAATAATAGTGCCGGCATAGTGGGCTACGTACATGGTGAAATTAACAATGTACTTGGTCAGTTCAGCACCGCGCGCCAACAATTGTTTAATTCAGATTATCGCGAAAAATAACTTTGCGCAGGTAGAAACGCGTGGGCGATAACTGGGAGCGGGAGCACGTACGTACGCTCGCAAGTTACCATATACAAAAAACCGCGTCCGCTAACCCTTGTCCTTGACTCTTTTGTGCCTTCGGAACTTTGTAGGTTTACACCTACCAGGACGCGCGCCGAGTTGGACTCGTCGACGGTCCTGTTCCAATGACCCAATGTATGGCCATGGAACAGATATTTTACGAGTATCACCCGTTAATCGGAACTTTGAGTCATGGATCGGGGAAAATTTGACCATTGTTAATGATCTGGTCCGGCGCGCGCTACTTCGTAGCACTTGCCATCGCGCGCTACTTCGAAGAAATTTAGACGAGTAACATCCGTCAAGGAAAAATCCTTCCTATACACGTTGCAAAACTCTTTCGTATACTCCGACCGGCTTTTGTGGCCAGAGGCCGCCGCGCGCGAAAAGGGGTTACCACAGGTCCGTATATATAGTTGTAGCGCGATGCACTACTGGGTCGCGCCGCGCATCAAATAATTCTTCTCTTCGGTAGATCGGCGAGATGCACTACTGCAGCGCTCCTACTAAATCGCTCGCCCAAATTTTAAGAAAATTCTTGTGAGAAGGCCCTTTGGGTATGAAAGTGATTTGAATCGGTGTATTTTTGGACGCTGATTCCGAATCACCCCCCATGACCTAGGGTTAAAATGCTTCCCTGGAGAGTTATTGGCAAAAAACCGTTTTGGTCACGTGATAGGCTAGTAAAATACTAATTCGATTGTTTAGGGCTCGGGTTAGAGTTAGGGTTGTGGTAAGGGTTATGGTTAGCTTCGGGGTTATGGTGAGGGTTAGGGTTGGGATAAGGGTTTATATAAGACCGTTTTGTACGGCTGCAAAACCATAAAAACCAAAGTCACGTGAAATTTTTGGGCGAGCGAATTAGTAAAAGCCGCACCACTGTGCCTCACCGAGCTGCGAAGGATTCACATCGTGAATCAATATATATATATATATATATATATAGCTTGATTCACGATGTCAATCCTTCGCAGCTCGGTGAGGCACAGTGGTGCATTTCGCCGATCTACCGAAGTGTGGTTGCGAGAAGCATTATTTGATGCGCGCGCGACCCAGTAGTGCATCGCGCTACAAATATATAGCCGATTTTGCAGATTTAAGTTACGGGAAAACCAGCGGACCTAGCGGCAATATCGGATAGCTAGTGGAAACTAACGGATGTCTTACGGAAGCTAGCGAATGCCTAGCGGACATCTCACATCTAACGCGCGCAATTTTGCCGCGCAGCGTTATTACCTAGCGGAAGACAGCGGATAGCTAGCGGGATTTAGCGGTGTATCATGTCATTTTAGTTAATAATCGGTCTGCAGTCCATTTACATTTAGCTTAGCTGCAACCATTGGCTCTTACTTTGATTGACGATGTCAATCCGTCGAGATCGTTGCTCTGCGAAGCAGAGCAACGATCGACGAAGCAAGAATGCTAGAACGATGCGAAGCAAGAATGCTAGAACGATGCGAAGCAAGAATGCTAGTTCGCGCGGCGCGTCGAAGCGGCGAAGTCCTCCAAGTTCTTACTAAATCGTTCGCCCAAAAATTTCATGTGACTTTGGTTTTTTTGGTTTTGCAGCCGTACAAAACGGTTTTACATAAACCCTAATCCCAACCCTAACCATAACCCCGAAGCTATCCATAATCTTAACTACAACCCTAACCCTAAGCCTAAATAATCGAATTCACGTTTTACTAGCCTGTACTGTGACCAAAACGGTTTTTTACCCATAACTCTCCAGGGAAGCATTTTAACCCTACGTCATGGTTGGTGATTCGGAATCAGCGTCCAAAAATACACCGATCTAGATCACTTTCATGCCTAAAGGGCCTTTTATTTTCACAAGAATTTTCTTAAAATTTGGGCGAGCGATTTAGTAGGAGCGGCAACCATTAGACCTCAAATTTATTCATTTTATGCATATAATGATCAAGCCGCACTTGATTCACGATGTCAATCCTTCGCATCTCGCCGATCTGCATAATCTCGCCGATCTGCATAATCTGTGGTTGCGAGAAGCATTATCGCATATTGGATGCGCGAGAAGCATTATTGGATGCGCGCGCGCGACCCAAAAGCCGCACATGATGTACAGGTATGAGATGTACAGGTATGAGTGCTGCATTTTAGCGCGTTTCCTTTAGGCGTCCGCTAGTTTCCGCTGTGTAACCGCTATATTCCGATAGCTGACCGCTGGCTTTTCTGTAACTTAAATCAGGTAATACGGAGCTGTGTTACAACGTGTATCAACAAAATCAAGTAATATGCTCGCGCGCGACGGTACGTGAAACGACTCCACGCACCACTGTTACTTGCCGAATTAAATACTGTTCCGCGCGTTCCGTAAAATTGGTATCAAATGGATACAATTTAAATATCCCCATTTTGTCCTGAAACCTGTCGGAAGCTTTCATGATATGTTTTTATAGTGACGTTATGTACTAGAGGAGTGGTCTGATAACCCAACCCACTGCTATGAGTGTCCAATTCCACAATCCTACATCAAACGTCAAATCGACAACAAAGTCAACAGACTGAATCAGGAAACTTGGGTAACTGACGGTCCCAGACACACCAAACTGACACTCGGCCACAAGCATGCCAAAATCATCAAAAACCTCAACACTACACTCAGCAACAACAGACAGGATTACAGAACTGCAGTTCACCTCATCACGGGTCACTGCGGCCTAAATAAACACCTTCACACCATTTGCAAATCAAACACCAGTGCTTGTCCTATGTGCGGGGACGGAGAGGAAACTGTCTCACACTTCCTTGGACAGTGTCCGGCTATTGCCCAAATTAGAGGTCAATATTTCCAAGACTACTACCTCTCTGTCAATGACATATTCGACAACCAACACATCACCACAATTGTCAATTTCGCAAACCGCACCAAACGCTTAATTGTGCCGGAAGAGCTGGATCAGACCGGGGTGACTTAAAGTATTATCTCATATGCTGTCTCGTCTCGTTTTACTTTTCCAAACCCAGCTGGCATTTAAGCGTATCATTTTGACTCATATAACATCTTACACCATCCTCCACCAATCACTCTGATCTCACCGGTAACCTTCCCCAAGGTTGCCACACCCCAGAGGTAGGCAGAGCATCTCAATGCTATCCTCTCGTGGGCTATCTTAGCCCAGCCTCTCTAAAAAAAAAAAAGAAAAAAAAAAAAAAGAGGGAGTTATGTGCCTCGCCGGGCTAAAGTAGTGGATGACCTTGCTGTACGGCAAGTTAAACAAGGATCTGAAACTACTAGGTTCCGTACAGACTCAACTCTGCACCCGTGTCAATATGTTCATTATATGCAAGCCTCTTGATTTATAATAGTAAAAAGGGTATAATGGCTGACGGTCGTGCTTGCCAGCACTGTGATAACAGATTACTCTTACATTACTTGGACCAGTTCCAGACCTTTTCTTGACGGTTACATTTGTCCGGTAGTGTTCTTGCCGATAGATAGCTGGCCTATAACCGGTCTTGCTACTACATGTGGAACACAAATGGCAAAACATTGGGAGGGGCACTCCACATGGAGTGCTCTTCGCTGTTCAAGGATTAAGGCCACTTTTTGCCACCTTTCTTGTCTGTCAAATATCTTTAGTTGCGAACATCGTAAAAGGCTGAAAATTCGGCGAATATGTACATTGTACAATGCCGACCGGCACAATGCCGACCGGCATTGTACAGATTTGCCGTACATTATAATAATGTAAGGGAGGAAGGCCATTTTAAGAAAACTTCAGCAGGATAATATCACATAACTAAACCATTGATTGCAAGCCACAAATAGCCACTAGTGTAAATATAGGGTATATGAATATCGCCACACCCAGTAAAAAAGGGCTCAAATTTATGGCTCTTTTGCAAAGGCTTAGAATAAGTATTTTATTACCATGGTAAAACTTTCTCGGGCCTTCAGCCCTCTTAAGTTCTACCCGGTCATATCTATACTTATTCAGTTATTCAACATGGCTTACTGAGTAGTGTGTGGATATGATCGAGAAAATATGTATTTAGCATTATCAATAGCAGTATTAAGTAACTTATTAAGTTTTTTAAAATTACACATACCCTGGTCGTCTCGCTCGCTCGTCTCACGTACCAGGATTCAGGAAGCTTGAAAAGAGCGCCGCGCACAGGGATTGGCGAGCCAGGTAACAACAGGGTTGATGGTTATCAAGGGTTAAAGCATGAAAACTATACATGTTGTTCATTAACACTACGTACTTGCAGTATTCAGACAGCATCTCATACATGAGATGGAACAACCCACAGAACGTCCCACCAATTGTTGTTCCAGTGCAACTGCAGCCAGCTATAAATGTGCAAGAGGAGCCGTTGTCTTCAAGTTCAGATCCAACTCTGTTTAATGTTGTTGTGGACAGTGAGCAGAATATTCCAAATTATGAAGTAGTGATGAGTTATCCCGCGGTGGTCTGAGGGCTCTTGCTAAATCACTCACCTAAATCATGATGACTATAGTGTATAGTGAAAACGTTTGCGCGTCTCCTACCTTTTAAATTATATATCAATATGCACGTTAGTAATTGTTTGAGATATGTTTAGCGCATACCAGTTCCATATAGAGTAGATATAAGCAATCAGGACTGATATTGTTTTCTAAAAATGTTATAAAACACGGCTCGACTATATCATGCTATTCAATCTATTGTACTTTTTTCTTTTGAGGTTTCTGACTCAGACTGCAGCTCTATATAATAATGGTTAAAAAGGTCCTGCGATTTTCGCGTCATAGCGTATAAACAGTCGCCGTGTTGAAGTTGAACTGTTACGGTTTCGTATAGTACTGTCGGGTTGTCATACTCATACGTTGTATGTCGTATGACCCACCGCGAACGAGTGCGCGGCTCCCCCTGTATCGTCAGGACGTGAAACGACCGTGGGGGTCACGACGTGATACAACTGTCGGGTACTAAATAGGTTGTGAACAAGAAAAATGCGGCCGCTTTTCTTTTGTGGATGGCCACTCAATTTCCCGATTCGATCCGTGATGGCATATTTTATCATATTCCATACATCATATACATAACAACCTGGGGAACCCTTCATGTATCACGTTGTGACCCCCACGGTCGTTTCAAGCTATGGTGACAATACAGGGGGAGCCGTGCGCGGCGGGTCATACAACGTATGAAAAGGGAACCCAGTCTTAACTGTTTATAAGCACATGCAGATATGACGGAGTTGGGAGTGACAGGCCGAGCGCCGCCCAGTTAATATAATTTCATGTTGCATTTGAAAATCGTGTATATTTCTATGTACTTATGTATTTGTAACTATATGTTTATTGTTTATGTAACCTGACAGTGACACGGATCAGGGATCTGTGCAAAATTAAAATAGTAATTATAACTCAAAATAATAATAATTTGTCATTTGTAGCGCGATGCGTTACTATGCCGCGCCGCGCATTCAATTATGCTTATCGCAACGATCGGCGCGGCGAAATGAGCTACTGGGCCTCGCCGAGCTGCGGAGAATTGACATCGTCAATTAATATGCCATCAATAATAGTGCCAGCATAGTGGGCTACGTACATGGTGAAATTAACAATGTACTTGGTCAGTTCAGCACCGCGCGCCAACAATTGTTTAATTCAGATTATCGCGAAAAATAACTTTGCGCAGGTAGAAACGCGTGGGCGATAACTGGGAGCGGGAGCACGTACGTACGCTCGCAAGTTACCATATACAAAACACCGCGTCACGTCCGCTAACCCTTGTCCTTGACTCTTTTGTGCCTTCGGAACTTTGTAGGTTTACACCTACCAGGACGCGCGCCGAGTTGGACTCGTCGACGGTCCTGTTCCAATGACCCAATGTATGGCCATGGAACAGATATTTTACGAGTATCACCCGTTAATCGGAACTTTGAGTCATGGATCGGGGAAAATTTGACCATTGTTAATGATCTGGTCCGGCGCGCGCTACTTCGTAGCACTTGCCATCGCGCGCTACTTCGAAGAAATTTAGACGAGTAACATCCGTCAAGGAAAAATCCTTCCTATACACGTTGCAAAACTCTTTCGTATACTCCGACCGGCTTTTGTGGCCAGAGGCCGCCGCGCGCGAAAAGGGGTTACCACAGGTCCGTATAATATATATAGTTGTAGCGCGATGCACTACTGGGTCGCGCCGCGCATCAAATAATTCTTCTCTTCGGTAGATCGGCGAGATGCACTACTGCAGCGCTCCTACTAAATCGCTCGCCCAAATTTTAAGAAAATTCTTGTGAGAAGGCCCTTTGGGTATGAAAGTGATTTGAATCGGTGTATTTTTGGACGCTGATTCCGAATCACCCCCCATGACCTAGGGTTAAAATGCTTCCCTGGAGAGTTATTGGCAAAAAACCGTTTTGGTCACGTGATAGGCTAGTAAAATACTAATTCGATTGTTTAGGGCTCGGGTTAGAGTTAGGGTTGTGGTAAGGGTTATGGTTAGCTTCGGGGTTATGGTGAGGGTTAGGGTTGGGATAAGGGTTTATATAAGACCGTTTTGTACGGCTGCAAAACCATAAAAACCAAAGTCACGTGAAATTTTTGGGCGAGCGAATTAGTAAAAGCCGCACCACTGTGCCTCACCGAGCTGCGAAGGATTCACATCGTGAATCAATATATATATATATATATATATATAGCTTGATTCACGATGTCAATCCTTCGCAGCTCGGTGAGGCACAGTGGTGCATTTCGCCGATCTACCGAAGTGTGGTTGCGAGAAGCATTATTTGATGCGCGCGCGACCCAGTAGTGCATCGCGCTACAAATATATAGCCGATTTTGCAGATTTAAGTTACGGGAAAACCAGCGGACCTAGCGGCAATATCGGATAGCTAGTGGAAACTAACGGATGTCTTACGGAAGCTAGCGAATGCCTAGCGGACATCTCACATCTAACGCGCGCAATTTTGCCGCGCAGCGTTATTACCTAGCGGAAGACAGCGGATAGCTAGCGGGATTTAGCGGTGTATCATGTCATTTTAGTTAATAATCGGTCTGCAGTCCATTTACATTTAGCTTAGCTGCAACCATTGGCTCTTACTTTGATTGACGATGTCAATCCGTCGAGATCGTTGCTCTGCGAAGCAGAGCAACGATCGACGAAGCAAGAATGCTAGAATAGAACGATGCGAAGCAAGAATGCTAGTTCGCGCGGCGCGTCGAAGCGGCGAAGTCCTCCAAGTTCTTACTAAATCGCTCGCCCAAAAATTTCATGTGACTTTGGTTTTTTTGGTTTTGCAGCCGTACAAAACGGTTTTACATAAACCCTAATCCCAACCCTAACCATAACCCCGAAGCTATCCATAATCTTAACTACAACCCTAACCCTAAGCCTAAATAATCGAATTCACGTTTTACTAGCCTGTACTGTGACCAAAACGGTTTTTTACCCATAACTCTCCAGGGAAGCATTTTAACCCTACGTCATGGTTGGTGATTCGGAATCAGCGTCCAAAAATACACCGATCTAGATCACTTTCATGCCTAAAGGGCCTTTTATTTTCACAAGAATTTTCTTAAAATTTGGGCGCGCGATTTAGTAGGAGCGGCAACCATTAGACCTCAAATTTATTCATTTTATTCATATAATGATCAAGCCGCACTTGATTCACGATGTCAATCCTTCGCATCTCGCCGATCTGCATAATCTCGCCGATCTGCATAATCTGTGGTTGCGAGAAGCATTATCGCATATTGGATGCGCGAGAAGCATTATTGGATGCGCGCGCGCGACCCAAAAGCCGCACATGATGTACAGGTATGAGTGCTGCATTTTAGCGCGTTTCCTTTAGGCGTCCGCTAGTTTCCGCTGTGTAACCGCTATATTCCGATAGCTGACCGCTGGCTTTTCTGTAACTTAAATCAGGTAATACGGAGCTGTGTTACAACGTGTATCAACAAAATCAAGTAATATGCGCGCGCGCGACGGTACGTGAAACGACTCCACGCACCACTGTTACTTGCCGAATTAAATACTGTTCCGCGCGTTCCGTAAAATTGGTATCAAATGGATACAATTTAAATATCCCCATTTTGTCCTGAAACCTGTCGGAAGCTTTCATGATATGTTTTTATAGTGACGTTATGTACTAGAGGAGTGGTCTGATAACCCAACCCACTGCTATGAGGGGGGAGGGAGTGGGGATGGTAGGTGGACTTCAATATTTTCTTTCTGACATTTCTTATGAATTTTTTCCTAAAACACTTCAGCTGATAAATAGCTCGATTGGAAATATTTCCTCCACATTTTCATCGTTTTAAGTTAACCTTTGCAAATAAAGATTTCGGTAACAATTATTGAAATCAAGAGGTATGCTCCTGATCCCATTCGTCTTAAATAGCACGGCGATGATGATATAAGTAATTACCCGAATATAATTTCAAATAGTCGTAAAATACAATTCTCTCTTAACAGTGTAAGTTTACTTAACAGAAAATTGAATCATAAATGAAGTAAACAAAAATATCAAAAAAAACCATCTCATTGAAAATCCAGTCACAATCACATGTTACCACACCTGGAGAAGTGGACCTGCCAATATTATAAACTTCATTATAAACACTAATTTGTGTGTCCTTCTCGACAAAGAATAAATTATTTGACAAAAGAGAAACCAAGCATAATTATAAGTGCACATTCGCAACTAAATATTTATGTAAGCAGTAAATCACATTCGCCCTGTTTCTTTTTCGGTACAAAATAAACGTTTAATAGATAAACAATTTAAGAATTTTTAAGTAAATAGGTGTTGAAAGATTTTTAGAAACACTAAGTTGATAATATATCTCTACTACATCATAATTAATTATGTGATTATGTGATATCAAGCCAGCAAGATGTACATTGAATCGATATTTCAATTCATTAGGATATGTATCAAAGGAACTATTTGTAATTAGCAAAAACATTTGCCCTTCACTATACCCATTTACCCATTACCCCACTTTATGATAACTGTACGAGTCAATTATACGATATCGACAAAGTTAACTATAGAAATCACGGTAATATAAAAGAGTGACCACAAGCAAATAATCAACTAATAAATCAACTCATCAGCCTATCTAGCTGATTTATTTAACCCCCTGTCGCCGCTACAAAATTCCTTATAGATCATATGAAATAAGAGTGCGTGGAATACAACGATAACCATGGAAATGACAATGATGAATAGTGCTGAAATAGGATGTTCTTCCAGCGAGTGAAGATCTAGTCCGTGGTGTTCTTGTATAAGCTGCCTGTGAAAGGAGAGTGGGGTAGAAAAAATGAATGTTATAATCTAGCGATAATGCTGAGCTTGTTTGATAAAAATAGCGGAAACCTGATCTGATTTCAAAAGTTGTCATGACCACCGTGAAATCACCAAATAAAATATAAATTATCAAACTAACCTAAGAGTGATGAGCTGTTCCTGTTGAGTTGCGATATACACAATAGGAGTGGCTGGGTTAGTGGGGTGTATGGAGAATGTGATCTCCTTTCCGTTGCTCGGAACTGTTGCTATCTCGCTCGCGCAGATCTGATCACATGCGTATAACGGGATGTCGTTGAACTCTGGATTCTTCCAGATCTTCACCTGAGATAATTGTCATGTTAGTTATCTCGCTAGATTCCGTTATTGCACGTTAAAATTTAAATCATCCCCCATGATAATGTTTGGGATGGGCACCTTCCTTTAAACGCTTCATGATTCAGATAAACAGTTAAATATTTGAAAATTGCAAGAACTTCCCTAATTATGCGCATTCTCATTAATTAAATTTCATCTTAATGATACAATAATTTCATTCCAAACCATTTCACCATCCTTCAACGTAGACCCTTGGTCTACAAAAACAGTCTGTGCAACCTACTTTACAGTCTAGATTCTAGACTCTAGAAGGAAGATAAATGATTCATGCTAGCAACTTCAGTCGGATTTTACGTTTATCTATGTCACTAGCGGTCATTTCAAGGTCACTAAACGTAACGAGGACGGAAAATAAAAAATGATCCGTTGGAACATGCACTGAAATTAGAGCATAGAGAGAATCCTCTACGCTACATGATCTGACATGTAAATATGTGTTATGAAAAGGCAGAGTTTTAAAATGGCCGGATCATGCATTTTTGATTACAGACAAAGAAACGATAGAACAACCGGCCCCGGAGATATTCATGATCTAATGAGGCATAATATGCTCATATTATGATGACGGCAATGGATTAGGAATCTAAGGCTAATTAGAAATGAAATTTATAAGATCACGTCAGTATGGCTTGGTTGACGTGGTCACGTGAAATGACAGTCAGGCTGATGACTCTAAACAGAAGCATTATAGTTGTACAATATGATTTATTCGTCCAAAAGAAGGTTTAAGATTTTCCAATACTAGGCAGATATTATCCAGATGTCAGTTGTAAATAGTAAATTTATTGGTTTGCAAATAGCTTGAAATGAAGCTCCAGCAATGTGATTCCAGGTTATTAACAGAATCTAAAAGAAAATGCTAGTTATGCTACTCACGTATCCAGTGTGGGAAGGAGTGTTAACAGCTACAGAAATGTTGATAAGTATCTCCTGAAACTCTATACCCCACAGGGTTATGTACCCCTCCATTGAGTGGGGGTTCAGAGCCAGTTCCAACCCGTGTATAGTCTGTGGATATACATTATACATTATACATTATATAATATTATCATGTATAATATATATAATTATATACAATAGTTGTAGATGTGCGATATTTGTATGTTCCATTAGAACATTGTCATCACAGAGTCGAGTCTATTAAAAAATCAGAAAGTTTCTTGAAAGAATCGTCAAATGAGACTCAATTTAAACACTACACGACATAATCAGATTATATTATTTGTATTAATTGTTATATGTATATATACATTACATCGCAGAATATGTAGTAATTTAACTAAGGAGTTATATTACTTGTCACTATATTCAGATTACCCTGTAGTGCAGAGTATGTGGATATAATACAATATGTAACAACAACACTGTCTATCCATAGACTACTGATAACTTGTCAAGACATAGCTACCTCTCGGACTTGCATTACAGCTGATTCGTTTCTTTATGATTTTATTATAGCAGCTGGAGATAACAAAGGTAATCACAGCACACCGTTTAAATACATACAACTAACAAGCTCTAACCTCAATGAGACCAGTGAAGGATCTGAGAAGAGCCTGATAAAACATGAGCCTGCTAGAAGTGCTGAACTCACTACAGCCCCCAGTAGCGAGGACTGTTTTCCAGGAGGATAACCTAGCGTAGGCTGCGTCCAGAGACTTCACTTGAGTCCACAACACCTGGACAAGGAATGTTCTAGAACTATTCGTTATACTTTTAATTAATGTATGTGATGTATTTTTAGTGTACAATGCAGATTGTATACTTGTATTATTTAGTCACTGGATTACACGTAGGTGAGACTCATATCAACATGTTAACATGTAAAATGACAGTTGAATGAGGAGCTGACTGCTGAGCGCTCCTATAAGGAGAAGGCACGGCTGGTACCTACCGGGGAATGGCTGCTGGGTGAGCCCTTAAAACAGTTAGTAGTGGAGGATTCAGGTATAAGAGTGGGGGGCTTGTACATACTGATCAGATAGTACATTGTCAGGTTCACTTCCAGGGGTTTAGCCATCAGATGGTCTTGGAGCGGTTGTAACCGTAAACCTGAGAGAAGGAGTGTCAACTTAGTTTTAAGGGGTAGGATTGTAGACGAATATCTTACAGTTGAAATTTACATTTAATAAAGTCATTGAGATAATCTTAATAAAGCTGAGATAATCTTAATAAACCTGAGAAAAGGAGTTTAGTTACAATCTAGTGTTAAGGGTTAGAATTACAAGCCAATTGTAGACGAATGTCTTACAGTTTAAACTCAATTTATGTATCAAATTATGGATATGTCATTGTCTTGTACTAGAGTGACCCAATCCGCTAATAGCTTTGACATAATTTTTTGTAAACGAATTTTATTTTAACCTAGCAACTTATTTGTGCGTGGAAATACTGATCCTGATACAGTACCACCAAATGGCATGGGACCCGTAATTTTTCCCTTCGCATACATAATATTCAGGAGATTTTGGAAGATTAAATGCAGCATGCGTCATTAAGAATTTAGTAAGTGAATCAAGACCGGCGATCAGAGATAATTAGATAAAGAATTATAATTGGAAGCAGGGGCTAGTTCACGGGACCGAGTTCACGAGAAGTAATCCAGTCTGTAATATTTAAAAACGTCTGATTTTGAGTTTGGAGATAACTGGTTTTCCTTTTACTGCTAATTACTAAAAGCGACCTCTACAGTCTTAACATTCTAGCTTCATAGGCAAGACTGCCAAGACATTCCGTCATATAGAGTAATAGCTGTCAGTCCCACTACTACTCAAAGAGTAACAAGAAACAAAAACTCACCAGATTTTCTGATATCCTTCCAGTTAGCCACGTGATCGAGTACAACTTTATTCTGATCCAGGTTAATCAGCTGCTCCTTTACAATCTTACATACATCCTTCAGTTTCTCACTGCGTTCTCCAACGTCAGGTAGTTTACTGGAAGCAAGGGACACAAAGAGCTTAACATTGCCGTCTTTGTACGCCTGATAAGAGGGAAATGCTTACAAAAACTTGGGACAGACTTTTATATATCATTCCCTATCATTTTATGTTACATCGTGTCTTATCTTTTGATAAGAGGTTTAAACAAAATTTCGTTAAAATGATGGAAACATTTGTTTGTTTACGTCGCTCATGGTGAAATCTAGTTATATGAAAATTTAAATCAAGTTATACATTAAGAGTATTTAAATTTGGTTATATTAGTATTTAAAATCGAGTTACATAAATTTACATCATGGATTTATGGGCTTCACAAAAATATAGGTTTAACAAAGATTTTCGGCCAGATAATTTGAAGCAATACATAAGACCATGATAAGTCTACACTATAAACCAACCAACAATCGAACTCACCTCAATATCAATAGTCTTATGAGAGAGAACAGAAGCAGCAGCAGCTACATAAGCTTCTCCATTAATAGAGTGAACTAGATCAGAGTAAACTACTCCCGTCTTCCCTGATACCTTTATACTGAAACGGTGGAGATATTATTTTAAGGGTCATCTGGGAGGACTTAATATAATTAAAAAGTAATCGGTTGATAATATATTATTAATAATTAACAGATCATCAATAATATACAATATATAATAATAAATTGGCAGCAATGATAACGTATCAGATGAATATCTTGTACGATGTGAAGACTACCCGCAAATAATTTGCCATGTTTATGCTGCAAATATGCAGTTACCTGAGCAGCGGGAAAATAGACATGAGCAATGTGGTAAACTGTCGACGTACACATGACAAACGGTGGGCACACCAGCATAACTAGATACTGACTGCGCAGTCATGCAGTGCTCCTCCCTGGGCGTATTGCAACAAGTAACAGTTAGTGAGCCTTCTTAAAACTGGAGAGTAAATACAGAACGCATTTTGTTGTGGCACACTTTAGGAATTATACTTTGGACTGGTATTGTTTTTAGCGCCCCCATTGAACACCATTGAATATTAGCCCAACAACTTTAGATTAATTCGGTAAGTTCGATCCTTATTTTCTTGGCTGGACGAGATTCCAGAATCCGGCACCAACTTTTTGGCAACAAAGGTTTTCCATTTTGGGTAGGTACTAGGCAGCTAGCCGCTTGTGTTCTAAAAGGGTTGGCTTGCTGTTCGTTCAAATTTCAAGGATGTGAATTGTGAGCGGTCTGTTGTGATCTAATTTTGGTTGAGTATCAAATCCCGTCCTTCATGCGAGCTAAAATTGGTCACGTTATCTATCAACTGACTGTACCGGGCCGCGTGGCTACGTCACTCGGTGACCACGTGCCAGACAAACTGGTGCCGTACCATAAAGATCATTAAGTAGTACACACAAGTTCAGTGTGCAACTTGCACTTAAAAGATGCCGAATGCCTCCCAGCACACTAATTTATTATATTACACAGTGCTTACAGCACTATGTGGGCATGTTCTGACTTTTTACGCTTCATAATTAAGAACAAATAAAAATTAGTTATACAAATTAGGAATGGGTATCATGCCCAATGAATACCTAGAGTCTCACTGAGTAGAATCCTACCATCATGATGAAATTTATCTCAGGTTGTGCTGCGGACTCCTTTAAATGAGAATCCAGGTAAATATCCAAGTAACCGGGACTTTGGTATTTGTGTTCATTATACTTATCCATGTTACTCTGGTTATCTGACGACAAACACAATCCCTTTACTGTACGATACTGGCGAATTTAGGGGTTTTCTAAAGTTCTGCATTTCCTTTGAGAGGCACGATTCCTTCACGGGCTGAGGGGCTATGAAGATGCTCGTAAATACAGTTACTGCCCCGAAGCCCCGAGGATATATCAGCTACGTCATCACGGAAATGGGAACCTTCGTTTAAAACGCTGGATAGGAGCCAGGATAGGCAGCACTTAGTAAGAGCTATTACGGAAACATTACCGCAGTTTAGTTTCTTTAATGGGGAATGTTGTACAGTACATCACCATGCCTCACTGAGAATAGCAATATATATTTTGTAGGTTTCTTATTTATATTAAGAGCATTTCAAAGAAGCAGACCAAACATCTCATCTCTTATTGTAATATTACACATTCAACCAGATGTAGTGATGTATACATATTTACAGTATTCAGAAGAACAAGTAATACTCCATAAATTAGTAATCATCTGAGTTAGTTGTGTGCATGAGTTGTGTCTAATCACTGGCATGGTGTGGCATCATTACATGAAACGATGTGCACTGTGCAGCAGCCCACACTTCGTATCGACAAGTCCTTGGTTATGAATATTATGAAACATGAGCAGTGAATTGTTATATACAGTTTTGTACAGGTAATATTGATGTTACTGACATGTCATGGATGTGTTCCAAGTTTTGATTAATTACGAGAGCACAACCTGATAATTAATTAATATCAGGTAATTTTACGGGCGGGTAGCCGCTGCCAAAATACAAGGCATGTGTATACGTTAGCCTATCAAGATTCAAGACTCATTAACATACAGCTTTTGCTATTAAATAATACGGGTGATTGTAATTGACAATTGTTTTAGTTTTACGTGATGCAAATCCAATTAAGTATTAAACATGACAGGAGATGTATGGTGTGACACATATCCTGTCACCTGGTGTCATGTGATAAAATCAGACCAACTGTTCATATTAATACTTGTATTAGACAGATGAATGGGATGATACATTTTATGAAATTGCTGTTTAAAATAAGTGATTCAATTAAAAATATGACAATTGTCCATCAGAAAGTTCCAATATAGATATATCAGTTCGTTTTAATATAGAAAGTGAGTTTTAATATAGATACTACAGTAAGCTTTCAACACATTATAAACAATATATTATGACAAAGAACATTATTGTGATTGTAAATAAAAAATTTAGTTTAAGTAATTTCAACGATTTAGTGTACAAAGCTCATGACAGACGCTTATGGAGAAGCTATGGGTGAGTCGAGACTACTCGGCCACTCGATTTTATGATTTATATTCTATTATCTTGTGTTTGCTGTATATAGTTGATTAATAATAATAAACAATATATAATATATTGTATCTATATACATTATACATGTGTTAACAATTGCACAGTTCCACCTCATTGTAAAGCAATTGCAGCTAAAATGTACCGTACTGTACTGTACTACTTTACTATAACTTATTGTTCTAATTACTATACGGACACGTTCATTGAAGTTTGAGGATATTGGTAAATTTCTAAAATAGCGTTTTCGACGATAGTGGCTTAATTTTAGCATCTATTAATCTAGCGTGTTCATAAGTTCTGAACATTAGCCACGTGACCCATACTCCCATATGCACTGCTCAGAAATAAAATGTATTGCTTTTAGGCATAATAATGTAAAAAATGTCACATTTTTGTGACATTGTTTACCATAGCTGCCCAATTATCATTCCTTGGTCTGAAATATAGTAGATTAGGTCAATCTAACAATTATGATACAGCATTGGTTAAAGGGCACGGATCGTACGGCTTTAGGGCAATATTTCGTAAACTTTGTCACACTCAGAATACGAGACCTCTTTTCTACTGTGAGGTGTCCTCAAAACGCTTTCAACTCATTATTTGATGGTTCTTCTGCCAATCATAGCCCTAAAATATGTTGTTTTGAAAAGTTAGCAAATACATGCACTTGGTTATTGGGAAATGATGTAAATTCTGTCACATTATATGGAATTTGAAATTCTGGGTGAATTTCCGAAATCATTTATATCTGATTTTGATTTGGAAGGCGGGAAAACTCTATATAAGGACGATACACGGATACAGTTGATTCAAGTATAGGGCAGTTGATGTAAACATCGTTACAAAATGATACGACATCGTAAATAGGTTACATTTTGCGGGGAAAATCTATATAAGGACGATACACGGATACAGTTTATTCAAGTATAGGGCAGTTGTTGTAAACATCGTCACAAAATGATACGACATCGTAAATAGGTTACATTTTGCGGGAAAACTTTATATAAGGACGATACACGGATACAGTTGATTCAAGTATAGGGCAGTTGATGTAAACATCGTCACAAAATGATACGACATCGTAAATAGGATAAATTTTGCGGGAAAACTCTATATAAGGACGATACACGGATACAGTTGATTCAAGTATAGGGCAGTTGATGCAAACATCGTCACAAAATGACATTGTAAATAGGTTAAATTTGGAAACAATGATTATAGAATGAAATAGTCTGTGATTAACATATTACGTACATTATAAAATGGGCAGGGGTTTTTATATTTCCTGTATCTCTGTATTAATCATTTCGGACTGTAATTAGGACTGTTCACGTGAAAGAAATTGTATCTAAATTTTACAATGACGTACTCGTATGTGACGAAATTTACATTCCTTGACCCTATTTTGAAGAACCATACCTCGGTTAGAATTCAACTATTCAATGTTCTTCCAGGAATTATTGGTTGGTTATTGTTTAGCAAATTAGAACTCAAGTTTAACAATGCTGAGTTTAATTTTACTAAGTTACTGAAATGTGACGAAATTTACTTTTCCTGCCCCAACAGTATAATTTCAATGTGATGAAAAATTGGCATGGATTTCAATATTTCCTGTATAAATCCATTCTAACTATAATAAGGACTATTGATATGAAAGAAAATCTATCTAAATTTTAAAATTACGTATGTGACGAAATTTACATTTCTTGCCCCTATTTTAAAGAACCATACCTCAGTTAAAATTCAATTTTCTTCCAGGAATTATTGGTTGGTTATTGTTCAGCAAATTAGAACTCAAGTTTAACAATGCTGAGTTTAATTTTACTAAGTTACTGAAATGTGACGAAATTCACTTTTCCTGCTCCAACTAACAGTATAATTTCAATGCGATGAAAAATTGGCATGGGTTTCTATATTTCCTGTGTAAATCCATTCTAACTATAATAAGGACTGTTGATACGAAAGAAAGTCTATCTAACTAATGCAAGTGCTGATGTGACGAAATTTACATTTCTTGCCCCCTATTTTGAAGAATCATACCTCGAATAGGATATAATTTTACTTTATCACCATACTTATGTCGATAAACTAGTTATTTTGCCAACAAATAGCAAATAAAGTTATCATATTTTTTTGTGATGAAATTTACAAATTTTTTTACCATGTTCAGGTGTTGAAATTTTGCCAATGTTAACATATCACTCAATCACTACCATATAATAACTTATATGACCGGTTGTGTGGTTGAAATATTGTTAATTGATCCATAGTACGTAATATAGGGTGTTTAAGTTGGTATACTATTATTTACTCAATTTCACACATGTTGAAATATCATACAAAATGTATGTGACAAAGTTTACCTATTTCTGCCTTCTGTATTTGTATTTGCCTATAACAATGAAATATGTGAACAATTCCAAACACATTCAGCTCACAAAATAATGCTAGACTATTCGGCATTTCTTGTCAGGATGTCATAAATATCCCTCATATAAATTTCTTAAATGTGTGACGGAATTTACATGGTGCAACCATTTAACGAAAAAAAGTCGCTAAATATGTAGATAATAGTCATATGCAACTATCCTATAAATTTGAAATTCGAAAATTTGGTCAAACACGACAACAAGGGGTCCATATAAACTCTGTCACGTTTTTATAGTGTGACAAAGTTTACAACTCACTGCCGGCCGCATTTAAGCGATATCTTATCGTCTGATAAAGATATCGTTATGCGACAAAGTTTATCTAGAGGATGAAACGATTATCCTAACCATTGAGGGTTTATATAGTTTTATAGTGTGACACATTTTACATCATCGTGCCATTGAGTAGGGTCACTAATATTTACCAATATCCTCAAACTTCAATGAACGTGTCCATACAGTATACACGATATTAGATAGGTATCATATTATACTTATTACTTCTGTGTATACATATCCTCAAAGTGCTAATTTTCTGTGCTGTGCTGTACTGTTCTACTCCACTGTTAACTGTATTATATACAATATAAAACACTGCACAACAGTACTTACTTCTGTATGTCCTCCAAGTGGGTGTCTATCCCAGTTTTCACAGTAACCGTCTGTTTAGTCTTGGTAGGGTTGTTAATAGTAACATCATGTCCGATAACAGAGGTAGTAGCTAGGGAGGTGAATATCGTCTCCTTGATGGTGATACAGCTCTCTCCCACGTGGTACAGATCCACCTGATAGAGGGGGGGGGGGGGGTGAGAAGGAGATAAAACACAGTACTGGAGAAGTAGTGGTTATCTAGTCACGTGATTTACCAGCTCACTAGCCCTCTTACCTGACAATATATTATATACTCAGCCCCCCATCATTACCCACGTACCACATTCATACATTCGTCTAGATATGAAGATATCAAGACCCTTCTCACGTTGTACCATAGGAGCTGCCACTGCATTCTATAATCACCCTACATTCCTATATATAATACACTGAGAATGTAAGGAGAAGCAAGGAGATGTAGCTCGCCTGCTCGCATGTTTGGAGTTTAACAATTGCACGATAATAATTAATTAACTATACATTCCACAATCCTGTGGAATGGATTGAACAAGCATATCAGCTGATGATTATCTGCAGATGATTATTATATAGCAAGTATATAATATTCTATATGGTCTGTGGTTCTGAAACCACCTTATATTGTACAAGATGCATAGTACTTAATTCATAAGATACGTATTCAGCTGAACATCTTACAGAACCGTTTCACTGTCACTGTGCCAGATGTATTCTGAATATCTCACGGTATGAACTATTATGTGTTTAAGCGAGTTTTACTGCTCAAACTGTGGCTTCAGCAGAGATACTCAAACTTCTCGAAAGCTCTAACAGGAAATGAGAAGAACTAATTGCAGCACATCAGACCGCAGTCAAGTTTAAGGTTACCACAACAATTTCAATATGTACAAATCTGCGCATGAGTACTTAATACTTAAACAGTTATAATACAGCTAGCCCGGGAGCTTGTTACTTAATACTTATTCAGTTATACAGCTAGGGACTTGTTTTTAAAGTACTTTCAAAACATTTTCAAGTTTAAATCACATTTAAAGACAACAAACAAACAAAAAAAGACGTATTAAACCGTGGTCATTAGGAAAGTTCGCACGAGATAGACCACGTCACAACAAGAACTTTTAAGATAGTCATATGATGTTCAACTAATTGACTTTCGATTAATAAAATTTTTGAAGCATCTAGTCGAGGGCAAATTAAAGCTAACGAGTCATTTTACATTTTGTTTTCTTATGACAGCTTCCAAGCATGCAATAAAAGTTTAAACATGTTTATTCGATTCATCAGATCTCACTCTTTCAGAATCCGAAGAGAAGAGGTTGAATATGGTGTAGAGGCACACTCTCGAGGAACGTTTTGACGTTGTCCTCGGACTAGCCCTTCAAATTGTTTCTGTCTAACCTGTATTCATGAACAGTCGACGATCATATACTAACCTGACATGAGTTTTGAGAGGTGAGATTGAGGCTAACTCCTGTCACGCTTATTATAATATTTAATTAGTGATAGTTTTAATGTTGAATGCTTTTATTTACTGTATAACTCCACTTTTGAACTATTTGACGACCATTTATTATTTTCATAATCGCACCGGCTTTTTTCCAGGGAGTGCGATTACAAGACTAATTGCACCGTAAGCATATTCGGTGCGATTACAAAACTGATTGCACTACTTTTTTAGAGCCCTCTCAATAACTGTTCTACTACTATGAGGTACTGATTTAAATATTGATTTAATTTTAAATCAGTAACCTGGGGTAATTTATGTCCGACAGTGCAACAGATTTATGATCATAATAAAATAGAAAATATTTCCTTGCGTTTTTTCTTGTAAAACTTTCTCAAACAGTTCCATTTTTATTACACTTTATAGTTTAGAGCCTAATTTGGCATGATATCAGATCATGTGATATTATATTGCCCCATGGAGAGCATTGCCAGAGCAATTGGTCTCGTGCGTGAGCTAGGAGGTCGCCAGACATCTCATTTTAAACTTTTAAAGCCGTATCGATTTTCTATACGTACGCATATCAAAAATCAAATGTGTAACTAAAACAGAAATGAAATTACAAAAGTTTTAAATTTTTGTCAAAAAACAAACTTTAAGGGGTGTTTCTAATGACCAGGGTCTATTACAGATTTAAAATGATTAATAATGATCTTAACCATCAGCTATATTAAAATAGGTAATTCGATCAACTTTATATAGCCAGATTAAAATATACCTGTCCATTTTTGAGGTGAAGTACTGACATAGCCAGCGAAAAGGCACTGTCGTGAATGTAGAACTTGAGATTAATGTTGTGTCCTAGATCCAGAGGTTGGGCATCTGGGGGAGCAGTCATCGTTAAAATCAAATAACTTTTAATCCTCCAGTCTTAAATCTATACATTTACATAAAATAAGCTCTAGACTCAAGATCTTATTTTTTTTAGGGAAATGTATAAATTTATCATCACGAGTCTTATCTAGTACGTGTTAACTGTTAAAGTAGCCGGATATCATTTTGGCACGAGACGATTATTCGTACAAAGTAAGGTGTTGATGTATTATATTCCCTACAAAATCAACAACTTATTTTGTAAACTAGAACATTTTAGTGCGAAATATTGTATCAGAGCTGATAATCTGTGATCGGATACTAGACTCCAAGGAGACAGCTTTTAACTCTAAGTGCAGGTTGAAATCTTATAACTGAAAAACCCGGAAAGACAGTGATCTGTATTTTGAAAGCTCCAGCTTAATAAATATTTCGTACCACTTATAATATGTTTTAAACAACCCCCTCCAGACAGTGATATCTGAACTTACTATCAAGGAGGACAGAGTGAGCGCCAGTGAGCGGAGTAGTGGCCACGTGACCATTACCCACCAGGAACAGTCTATCTGGTCTCTTGGGTCCCTACATTCAGGACAATGTCCATTTCAGCTGATAGTCTCTCAAACTGAGCTCTGTACCCTGACAGACAGGGGGGGAAGTTGGCTACCCGTGTTGAGATCGGGGCTGTCTCCTGGGGGAGGATAGTTAATAGTTGAGTTAAATAGTTTAAAAGTAAAATAGTTAGGTAAAGTAGTAAATATCAGTTAAGTTAAAACTTATCTGACGATATTGATCGACTGATAATTTAGAAGACTGACAGTTTAAATAGCTCAACAGACAATAATAGCTTTGGTAAATCAGTACTTCTTTTATTGAAATTGTAAGGCTCTAAAAGCTAACAGCAACAAAACACAACAAACCACAAAAAAATAGAAAATGTATCACATAGAAATGGTTGCCAACAACAACAAAACTCACCGGTTCTGATTTAAAGCTGAGACTCCTAAAATAAAGACCAAGGAAGATGATAATACCAATAGCAACAAGGATCCGGCGGGTTCTGGTGGGGGCCAACACTACAGCCATGTCCACACGAAATGGTAAACTTGGCATTATGGAGGGAGTATGGAGCTCACTCTACGTCCTCATTGTAACATGGCTGTGATTATAGGGGGGACCAGTGTTAGATCTAGTGGACTATAATTGGTATTAATAGCATAATTGGTTAATTGAAATATACTATAATTGGGATTAATACCATAAAAGGTTTATCAAAATAGCCAGTTTGTATTTTGTATTTTGTATGTTAATAACCATTAGCCAGCTACTGCATACTGGAATGATGTCACCAATTAGTATGTGAATGTTGTGATTTAGTAGCAATTTGATTTAGCTCAAATTTGTCCATTATTGATTAATTGATTATTACTAGGATTAGCAAATTACCAAAAAGCAAGAAAACAACATCACTTATAGTTTATGATATACGTTTGGGTCTTATTTAATAAACTGTACAGTTACAGAGTTTCGTTAGAGGATCACAACGGTTGCACACACCCGATATTAGTACTAATGAAGCAAGATTATGTAATTTAAACAGCATTTAAATATAAATGGCACTAGAACAACGAAATTAGCAGGTTCACAAAAAAAACTGAACTTTAAGTGTAGCGTAATTTTAAAGAGTGAAATCAAACATCAAAGTGGATCAGTATAAATCGTGTTAACAAAGGTATCAATTGACAGCCAAGTAAGTAAAAATCAAGAAATTATCCTCATAATATAGTATTTACAATATATGTTTAAAACTAGCCTACTGATAATAATTACATTTTGATATTTGGATACAATTCTGAAGGGTTTCAACACAAAGATCATCCGTTCTGCGTATTTTATATGAATTTATGTTGGGTGGGTTTTTGGAGAATTAACAACAAGAGTAAAAGTTACAAGAGTAACGTTTAGTCGTAACCATGTAACCATGGTGACGAGTTGGATGGTCATGGTGAAATATGGGAGAAGTCTCCAAAAAGTTGATAGGATTAGCGGAAGTGGAGAGAAGATAGTCAGCTGGTCAAGCAAGGATCATACAGATATGGGAAGAGGTGACTAAGAAGCAAAACCCAATATTTGGCAGAGAACTAATATTGTGTATTAAGCAATTAATATAATCAAAATATCACAAATATCTGCTCCAATGTTCCGTGAAGATAATAGAATGCAGTTGTTGCTAGTTGCATGGATTTGAAACCCACATCTTCCTTCTGATGTGATGACCACCAAAGATTGCCTCAAATTCCTTGCGCTGAAAACTCCACAGATATCCATTTTGAAAAATAATAAAATCATTTCCTAATCACCCTCTTTTTCAGAGCATATCGCACTGTAAGTTTTAATGAACAAACTTTCGGTATTTTAAATCATTAATTTAACGCTGCTGGGTAGTCTTATTTAGCTTAATATGATTTAACGCTGCTAAAATAGCTTAATATGATTGATCCAAATGTGATATTTTTATAATACAGAAAATAGTGCATCAAATTAAAACAATGATAATAATTTACATCAAACGTCAAATATTTACAAGAAAATGCTAGCTATTTTCACTAATTTAGAACGTGTTTAGTTCTCATTTCACAGTAAACAGCTCATTATCGTAGACACTGATAGTCTTAAATTAGTCTTGCTCAGAGCGGCAAATGTTTGAGAAAGATGGCATGGTGGCTTGTGTTTTAGTCAATCTGCGATCGATTATTATTGTGAACTATTAAGTCAGCTTCAAGTTATTGTTATCAGGTCAATAGGCATGTTTCTATTTGAACTACGACCAAACTAGTGAATAATAGCTAGTCTTGAACATATTCCATGGTTTATCTACAATAAAAGGCATAAAAACCTATTTTTAACCGTTTTTATTTAATCTGGACCTTAAAAAACAACACGAAATCAGAAACAGCTACAACATCGCACGTAGCACAATAATTTCCATTTTCACCTTTCCTCTTAAATATATCATGCTCGGAGAACAACCGGTACATTGTCCAATCTCATATATAAGGTACCCAGATTTCATGCACTCGAGTAATCCACGATAGAAAAGTTACGCTAGTCCAAACAAACCGTCAAAAACAAATAACAAATGTATCAATAACGACAGGTCCCACAACAACTGTCCTCATCTACTGTTTTTGCTTGCCAGACTAGCAGCTATCTTCCGTAATCCCTCTATCCCATTACACATCTGCTTGACAAGTTTCTCCGCGTTATCCGCACTTTGTGATAACTCCCAGGACACCCTGTCAGTTTCACATGATGTTATTTGGGAGCGGGTTCTGGCCAGCTCAGATTCAGCTTCCGCAGCTCGTGCTTCACTGCGCTCTAGCTTTTTCTCTACCTTCTTAACCATCCGATCCAAGTCTTCGGTATCTTGTTCTTCTTTGTATCGACTCTGAAATGATCCAGTGTAATTTGGGGAACTGCATAGGTTTAAGATATCAACAGAAAATCTTAAGATGCAATAACATTATAATCTCGTTATTGTAAGGGTTGTGATCGTAATCTGTTGAAAAATGCATACTGAGAATAAATTTAAATGAAAAATATTCTGTTACTCGCTACATTTGTTAAAAAGGCTACTTTTACTTTGGACATGTTAAAATTTGACTATTATAATCATCAGTAGGGAATAAAACTAACTAATTTCTAGTATAAATCATTTCCTGCTCACCTCAGAAAGTTCCAGATGTAATCTCTTGCACTTCTTCCGGCTCTTTTGTAACTCATTCTCTGTCATGGCTAGTTGTGCTTGGAGCTGGTCCACTTTCAAGCCCAGCTGTGTTGTCATGAATTCCTTTTCTTCTAGTTCTGCATTACGTAGTTGCATTGCTTCCAGTGTGTCCCGTAATTCTCGCATGCTCATGTGGTACACACTTTTTTGGTCTGATGGGAGGTATATATTATATAAAGATTAAATGTGGGTAAAAGTGCAACACCAAAATAGACTTCTCGTTAGCTGAGGGCCTGATCACAAAAGATCGGGCATGAATACAACAATCTGTATGGGACTCAATAGTTCAATAGTGTGAATTGCTATATATTTGGTTTATATATTTATGATAGTCGATATGATATATAATACTAATTGTGTTCTATTTCAGAATGTGCCACAAACATGTTGTCTGTGGGGTTTGATAATTACTTGTAACAACTGGTGTGTTTCATTGCATAGTGATCCATTTAAAGTTAACAAATAGGTCCGGTGCACAGTATCCACTTACTTGGAGTGCCGGGTTTGGAGGGAGGTTTAGAGGAGGGAGCAAGCGAGGGAGAGAACATCTTCCTCGACAAGTTTTCAGATGGCATAGGATCTGGTTGATAAGACTTCTGTGGGAACGATGAAGATTAAGTTGATTTATTCGAACAACATGAAGAAATAGATTATTTAAATCCATGTAATAAACAGTATTCTATTGGGATAGAAAACTGTTGTTGTATGAACGACAACAAAGAAGATTATAAGGTCGACTTACTGCTACTTCATCGTGACCGTTTAAGAAATTCAGAAAAGAGTATGGATTCTCAGGATTCTCTGCATTTCCCATACCTAATAAAAACAACGTAAGAGCGATTAACTTTACATCATAATTCGATCTTTATCTAAAAATTGAAAAAATCCCGACAAACATGTGATTTTGATAATCAACGACATAAGATCAAAGACAAAAAATTAAGGACAGAAGATCGATGTTCAACAAATAAAAAATTGCAAGTTTTGATTTGCAAATATATATTCTTTTATCGTTTAATACCAATATTGATTACATGTTTCATAAAGTTAATCAGCATCAACAAATTTACAAAAGGGCAATAATATATAAACTTTTTTTAAGTGACCTCCCAACACAGTACACTAGCATAGTAGCACAGTGATGATTCTTGGTCCAAACATATATTATATATACATTTTAAATAATTTAGGGAGACCCTATTATAAGGTTCTCACGAAAGTTGTAAGGCTAATTCTAAGTAGTGCTATTTAAGGCTAGCACTACTAGTAAGTTGTAAGGCTAATTCTAAATAGTGCTATTTCTAGATTTGGTCAGTCCTAAAGGAAAAGCTTTCCTACTGGGACTGCACATCCCTTTAACTTTAAGATGTGCACTGGGAATGATCTTAGGTTAATTTCAAGGCATCCTTTGAGTTTAACTCAATTCTTCAGGTTCTATTCTTCTGATGTTCCAAAGATCTTTGACAGCTTGTGTAATACCGATATCATGTTGGTTGAAATAAAGTAATGTAACAATTGTTAATGCAGTCACCACTTTTAAGATTGCACTTATGATAGCCATTGCAGTTGTATTAGGAACATAATCAGTTAACACCTGCAAATAAAATACATAATTTTAGTGTGACAATGATTATTCCAGCATTTAAACAAATAGTCTCACATACTAATTTAAAACTTATTAAATTCAAAAGATGCTTCAGATGTCATTAAAATGTAAGGTATTTACCTGCTCAATACCCCAGTGGGTGTGAAGGGGGACAAGAATTGCGAGAGCATGATCAAAAGCAAGGGTTGGATATACTGCGGCTCCAACCATAGCACCGACGGTGAGAATGGATACATACCTCTCAGCCTGAAAACATATCTATTGAATTATCTGATGCATAGAAATGTAAAACAAGTGTAAGTGATTTAACACAGCTACAGGGCATGATACAATCTGCGAAAAGGGTTATCACGAGTCAAAAAGAGTTATTATCTATTGAAAGTTTAGTGCAGACTTACCCTCCAATGCTTAACACTTGAGTCAGAGAGATAAGACACTTGTGTCAAGTTGGGAAGCAGTTGCCTTGAAACAGGCCTCAGCCTCATGCAGCCAGATCTAACAACAGCTGATAACATCTAAGTTGGAATGTTCATTAAATATTCAATTCTCTTAACATTTCACAGGATACATTAAATAACACAGCATGAACATGAATTGAAATATGTTCAAAAGATTATAATAATAATATAATAATATATATATATATAACTCTAAAACTCTAAAGTAAAGTAAAGTAAAAATAATGACATAACATCATCACACATGTCTGCAAAGTATCAAATCACTATATGGAAAAACATAAATATCTTAAATCACCAAAATTAATAAATTATTAACTACAACTTTATTTTAAAAAATTCAAAAGCATCCCCAAAAGATAACCCTATTCATACTTCCCAGTGGAATAAAGATTTATAAATCGGTCACAAGAGCAACTGCCTAAACATGCAGAAGTGAAAACAAATAAATAAAAATACTAGCAGTCCTTGACACTCGTAATAAATAGAATATTAAATTCGTTTAATGTCATCAAATTCTTAACCATACATGTGACACCAACCTTCGTTGTGTAAGAATGATTTAACAACCTCTACTTGACACAAAACATGTACTAAAAGGTTTGGCATTCTGTATGACATAAATATTTATATAATACCAATAATTGGGCATCCATACTCCATTCAGCATCCATATTGATTCAATAGGCATAGTTAGTGTGAGCATCAAACTTAGACAACAAAGCTAGACTTCGCAAACGTTTTTCAGAGCAGTGCTACAACATTTACAGAAACAAAGACTTTCTACCTTGCATTAGACTATATTCCAGCATCATGATATCTTTATTATTGGAGGGTCCCTCCATTACCATAGTGAGTGAAACAAATTTAAAATTTTATCCTTTATTTTACAATCATAATATAATAATATTTATAAGCCTCCGTTTTGAAAGTTTTAAATTTTAATACATTCACATTTCTATTTAAAATTCAATTTTATGTACAAGTCAATAACTGGCCGCCAAAGCCGCGCATTCTTGAAAACAGGATTAACTTGATTATAGTTATACGACTATGTAAATTAAAAACTATCCGTGGTTTTTTCTTTTAAATAAATAAATTATAATTTTACCTAAGTCCAAAGCCAGCTTTGAAAAATTTACTATTAAATCATAATATATCGTCAACTTTAAATATTTACAATGCAACAATTCATTAATCTGTAAACACGCGTACTCCAGCCCCTAAACGCATAAATTGTTATGCGGCGCGGCTCAAGCCGCGCACGCACGTATTATTTTATACTGTTTGCTTTCTAATAAATATCGTGCCAATGTGTACGTCTAAATTGTAAACGTTCATGTTTTGTGTAAAGTGAATCCAATTGGGACTAGTGACAAGGATAAGGACCCAAGTGCCTGTACGGCTTTTTCGGGCCCCTGTGGACCACTACTCTTGAAATCACTCTACAACATTGAACATCTATATCTACTACGTCATTTGGCAATTATTGTCATTAATCTAACTTTCTAATTAATTGCCGAGGGGGAATAGTAAACGCTTCACATTAAAATTCAATATACAAAATTCAAAACCATCAATACGGTATTAAATATTATGGACAAGTCTATAGATCTATTTCGTAGTCATATATTCACATGATTTGCTTTATATTATATTATCTTAATACTGTAATGAAGTACAGTAGGATTTGTGTTTCGAGAAAGAAAGGTTGCGGTCAAATTATTAACAAAAGTAAACAAAAGTCCATCAGGGACTCCGTGCGCGTGGAGTCGAAAAAGGTACACGGCTGCTGTCTGGTGCTGCTAGGCATTTATTGATCAAGATGTTTTATTGTATTGATTTATAATGATTCTATTGTTCGTGACTAATCAAGTTCTAAGTGGAGGTATAAAGTGCTGGTCAAGATACTTCGTCATCTCATGTCCAGTATAATGATTAAGATAGTATACAATGCAGTTTTAGTAGTTGACCCATACAGTTAAGTCCGTCATAACTCACAATCGTTAAGTCGTCGGTCAATTGTCAAAGTCGTTGTGTGTTTATTCGTTGAGATAGCAGTAAGATAAGATGTTACGCGCGCGCGCGTTTAATCCCGTCGACGTGAAATGTGACAATGAAAACGCCATAGAATTATTATTTTCGCGCGTTACGTAGAGTTTACCAGTGTGTAATACTAGTTAACACTGGGTGTACACTGAGTGTAAGTGTAAGTTTCATATACAAGCCGTTGAATATTTCCAATTTTGAGTGTATCGTGAGCATGTTTTACAGTGCGATTGCTCGGTACTAGTGTGTTTGTGTATATATATACATATATCATTTGTGGAGTATGGTGTAAGTAATGTTTTTGGTTGGAGTGCAGTGGTTATATGTATGAGAAAAGATATATGGTCATTTTAGTAACTCACATAAATCAGAACTTGGGCTCATTTGTGGCAAAATTAAGCTCACACCAATCAAGTGTATCATGCTTGAATTGCAATTCTCGTAAGGCAATTTTCAATATATTCTTAAACCCGTTTGTCAGAGTATTAAAACTTATCTTACTTGATGTTTGTCGACAGCTGTTCCACATGTAGGATGATTGGTAGATGAATTGTGAGGATGGTTGTGATGTAATGAAATAATCCTCTCGTCGTGGTGACCTGTTAAATGATGAGTACAGTGATAATGGTTCCTCTAACTTATTAATTTTGAATAGTTCTAAGAGACAAGTGTACTTGTACAGATTGTGGACCGTCAACAACCTGTGGGTTTTAAACAAGGGCTTGGAGTGTTCTTTTTGGTAAAAGTCCACCCCCAGTCTTTGCTTATCAACAGGTCGTGTTCGGGCAGGCACACGTTTTAAACTTCTCTAGGTAAGCTTCTCTATCCCCAAACAGAATTCTTATACACTTTTTCTGTGTTTTAAAGATAGGTTCAAGTCGGTTATTGCTAAAACCACCCCACACAGATATTCCAAATCCTAAATGTGATTCAAATAGAGTATGATATAAATCCTTATAATACTGCTTTGGGACAATGTGTCGTATTCTGCACAGCTTTCCTACTTCGCATTTAAGTTTTGAGTTAAGTGACTGCGTATGTGATTTCCAGTTAAGTTGGTCGTCAATAATAACGCCTAGAAATTTAGCTTCTTGAACTCTTTTAATAACTACATTATTTAAAGTTAGTATGTTCTCGTCATTTTCTACTTCCTCTTTGGCCCGTGAGGGTTTAAAATGAATAAAACAACATTTCTTAATGTTAATATGTAATAAGTTTAGTTTCATATACTTGTACACAAATGATAGAACTTCATTTCCTTTTTCGTATAGTCTTTTGACACATGTGTCTTCTATAAATATGTTAGTGTCGTCGGCAAATAGTATAAACTTTCCTATAATTGATGAGTTACGGATGTCATTAATATAAATAATAAAAAGTAAGGGACCAAGACAGCTCCCCTGCGGCACTCCATAGACTACTGGAAGTTTCTCGGATTCTTCACCTAATACCGAGACATACTGGTATCTGTTCGACAGGTAACTTGCTATAAGGTTATTTGCATTTCCACGGATTCCATAATTTTCTAACTTATGCAGTAACTTTTCATGTGATATTGTATCAAAGGCTTTACTAAGATCAATAAATATTCCAAGAACGTGTTGTTTTTTCTTGAGGCAAGATTCTACGTGGTTCACTGAGTAATTTAGGGCATAACTGGTCGAGTGATTTTTACGGAATCCGTACTGGTTTTCATATAAGGAGTTCTGTGAATGAAAGAAGCTGTATAATCTATTGAATATAATCTTTTCAAATATTTTACC